GGGACATGTATATAAGGCGATGGTTGTTTCATAAATTTCAAACTGTGTTTAGAGAATCCGCTGTTCTGTCCGTTTTTGTTTATTTTTCCTACGTCTCAGGGTTACTACGGATACCCTTGTTATCTCTGAGACCTGGTGCTTTATGCTTATCGAAAAATTTAGTGTATTAAGAAAACCCAGATTCTGCTGCAGAAGAGTTACAACTGAAACAGCCGTAATTCCTTTTTGCGAAATGTCGAGTTCTGGTTCGCTAAACAGCAGTACGGGTTGTGGGGATCTTTGCCCCCCCCCCCCCTTTTTCCACAAAAACAAACAAAAACGCATGCCAAATATTGTTTTGACGAATGCGTGACTGCTTGTTTGTGTGTGCAAGTGTAGTTTTGGCAGCATTTCGCTAAATTCCAATCTTAAATACCATCGTATAAGTATATGTCTACGCCACTGTTCAGATCATCATACGAACTTATAAAATTGAGGTTGCTTCGAATTACCAGCACTCAGTAGGGTACTTGGATTAGCTTATAAATAGCACGTATATTAATAACCATAACATAGCACGTTCACGCTTCTAAGATAAAATTTCGGAACGCGGTCTGAATTCCGCGCACTTCCCTATAGGTACACTCCGCGACAATGTCAGCGCGAAAGGGTAATCACAGGTTTTTGTTTTCCCCTCCATATCGAAGGACTGTCACCAAAACTACCATAGTTGTGGAAAGGGCTTAGTTGGGAAATTAACCTTAGTGATAGATTTCGATGCCCGCCAGTAAAATGCGAAAATGCGCGAACTCTTGTTCGCGCTGACGGTGTCGCGCGCTGTTTGTCTTGACGCTGCTCTGTTCCGGTGTAGTGTCCATACCATATTTGAGGGATGTTTTTCCAGTGTAGTGTCCATACCATATTTGAGGGATGTTTTTCCAATTATTGATTACAAGATGTAAAGCTTGTCATACATTCAATCAGAAAAAAAAAGAGGGGGGGGGGGGGTGCTTTACGAAGTGTATTGGGAAGAGAAACAGAGTCACCAACAACTTCAGAACAGAGTCAAGCTCCAATCAATTAATAAAACGTGTGGAAAATTGCTGGACATTTGTGTTGCATACGTGCAACGTTCTTGGATCCCAGACGTTTAGAGATCCGAGTTTTGCGTACGCAGGGCTGATAACCTTAATGATCTAGCAGAGCTCCCTCAGTGCGCACGGGTGGTCGAGCTCCTCCTCGCCTACCTCCCTGGTCATGTGACCCCCCCCCCCCCCCCCCCCCGTTATCCAATCAGTATCAAGCTTTGCGGTCACGCTTATCAGGCTTCACAAAATTCTGAGCACCTGGCCAGAGAACCTTCCACGTTAATAGGGAAACTGAACAACGTGCTCGCTTGATGATCCTTTCCGTGTTTTTACATATAAAACTGGTTGATATTTCGCCTACTCTTGAATTGAAATATAGGCGCGAATATTTGTTAAGTTCACTATAGTTGTTAAATTAAGCTTTTCTTGCGTCTTTTCTTTTTCCTTTAAGTGTATCGTTTGAATTTAAAAGAATCATCATTCCAGCTAGACAAACGTCAGTTTCCCCAATAGGCTTAGCAAACTTACACTCCCCGACTTCATGTAATTTGCATTTGACTGCAATAGCGATGATTGGCGAGGATTCTCAGTAAGGTCCAGTGTGTGTGCGGTGCACGGTGTGGCCCGCGAAACATGGAGGGGCCCGGAACGCTCCCCACTAAATTTAGCGGGGTTTTACTGTCACGTGAGGTCACAGTTTCACATGACGTTATACGGTATCGCGTGACCCCCAACGTTACTAGAACCCCCTCCAGTTCGTTTCCGGTCGCTTGATGCGCCATGAGAGTTTCGTTTCAAAACTGCGTGTTCCAAAGGCTCTGTACTGAGCAGCAAAAAGTACGGCGATACGCCATCTAGGCGCTGTGTTCCAAAGCATATCTATTCCATATATAGAGTATACTGCAGTTACCATAGCAGCCGTCCTCAAGACGGTGGCGCGTCGAGCGATGGGAGACGGGCAGTGACTCGTGAAGGCTAGTGGGGTACTGGTGGTGTAAGCAGCGTCTATGGGCTTAATGCGGCAGAGCTTTACCGCTTTAATGAGTTTTTGTTTGTTTGTAAATTCTCTCGCCACTAATACCAGAACAAGGAGCGACGCCCGACGTCTTCGGTAGGGAAATGCGGAGAAAGGAAATAAATTGACGAAAAAAGTTAAAAAGAAAGGTATAAGGACGTTTCTTCGAGAGGGCTGTTGCACGTCACTGGCGCCAGATGTCTGATTTCTCAAATCAAGACCGTCGAGTAAACACGGCGACGACGATTCGCACAAAAAGTATTTGTACGTCTGGAACATGTTGTTGTCGAGGGAACGAGACTTCAGCAAGCTGCAAAAGTTTTATTCATTCCTAAAAACAAAGAGTTGCCTAATGTTTCTCGATAGCGTGTTTTCGCGTCATAAATAATGTATCGAAGAATCAGACGATAGTATAAAGGTCAGAAAAACAAAATCTGAATATTCAGTCACTTAATATTTCTTGTTCTTTTTTTTTTTTTTTTCATCGGCATGAATATTTGCAGTACAACGCGAGTCGTGATACAAGGCAGAAGCACAAGAATTTGCTCCTTGAGTTCCGTTGTAAAAATATGTTTTTAAATACTCCTTTTTTCCTCGTTCTGTTTAGGAGGGGAATGAGTTGGCCCCAAGTGGTGACGGCGATTGCTTCTAACGCTTTATTTGCGAGTGCAGTGTTTTTTTTTTTCTTTTTTTTTTGTTACCAATGACTAAGCTACTCGTTAATTGTTGTTGTGTTCATTCGACTTATCGATGGTTTCTGATGTTGTCTTATCAAGCCTTGGCCCTCAAAAGTTGTCCGGCAGTATTCTCAAATAGATAGATATTACTTCAATTTTTCGAGTTATTCCAAATTCTTTTCTTTAAGGGGCCATAAACTGAATTTTGGGCTGTGATAAATTATTTTAGATTGGGATTTTACTAATCGCATCTTGCTTAAAGGGATGGTGAACCGAAAATCAAAGTTCAGAAAACAACGCGAAATCGGTAGGCTACAAATGCCACAACGTCACTCATAAAGTGGTATCTCCAACGGATCGTCGTATTTTTGTAAAAAAAGAAAAAGAAAAAAAAAAGAGCGCGCTTGTACAAGGTTAAAAAGACGCGTGACCTCGCGATTCTCATTTCCTCCTCTTTTCTCTTTGACTCCGCAAGGGTGCGGAGAGGAAAGGGGAGCGAGGCCATTTCTCCTCCTTCTCAGCTATTCTGCAATAAGATGACGTCAACATTCTCCCTCATTCGCTTCTTTATTGTCCAGAAATACGGCCATCCGCTCGAGATATGGCTATATGAGTGATGTTTCGTTGCTTATGTGGCGCCCTGTTAATTCTGCAAGCTTATTTTGTGAAATCTGAATTTCGGTTCAGCATCTCTTTTAATGGGCCAAACGAGAGTAATAGAAAGTCAAACGCCTGCTTTTCGCTGAGAAAATTTGAAAATGGAGCGTACTATCTCGTACCTCCTTTCCTTCAGAACTCAGCCTTTCCACTCTATTACAAACGCGGTACCCAAAACCCCAAAGCACGTCGGCTGGCCTCTGCTTACAGATTCGACACGAGCACTGCGTCACTCGGACGTATGTGCTCGTCAACAATTGATCCGTCGACGAACACTTGGATTCTCGGTCGCGGCCAATGAGGGCCGTGACGCACTTATCATCACTTGCGAATTACAAGTTCCCTGGTGGACTTAAACAACACGGTGGAAGCTTGTGCTAAAGCCCCTTCATGTTTCAAATAGCGCAAGATGCGTCAAATGAGAAAGAGAGAGAGAGAGAAATAAAGAGGGAGATGTAGAGATAAAAAATATTGAGCGAGACTGAGAGGTAGAAAAATAGCGAGAATGAGATATATTCAGATACAAGGAGATATTTTGATATGGATACTTCTCGTTAAAGGCCCGTTCACACATACACCACAGAGTCAGCCCTGGAAATAGTGCAGGCCTTGCTGATGCAGCGCCGACTTCGCACTATATTAGTGATACAGCGCAGATAAAGTGCTCAGTTACGTTCAAGGCAGCGCTGCTTCAGAACCGTTCCTAGTCCAGTCGATCTAGTGATGCATTGTGTGTGCGAACGGTCCTTGCTATTATGAACTTCGGGGACGAACTGAGTAGTAAGTACCTCTGCATTTTCGACTCAAATTATGGACGATTTGTCGGTGCAACGAAGTTGTCTATATCAACGAGACATGACCGCACAGAGAGATAGACGCGTATTGAGAAGTGCTGCCAACAGGTGGCGAACGCCGCGTCTTGGTATCACCGGTCGATTCGTGTCATGATAGCTGACGATTCCGCAAAACCCGAACCGACCGACGCGGAGCACGACATCTGTCGGTATCACTTCTGACTGCGCGTGCATTCTGCAAAGTAAGATTCTGCTGTTCTTTTTTTTTTTTTTTTTAGCGAAGTCATTTTTTTAATGTAAATTTTCACCACCTATTTGGGCCTTTGTAGTAAATCGCAACGCAAAACAATAAGAAACCTTTTTTCTTCTTTTTTGCGGGCCGTTTAAGGTGTTTAATGCTGAACCAAACAACTTATTGTGCATATTAAGTGGCGCACGTTCTTTCCACGTGCCAGCAGCCGCCGGTGTGCAAGAGCACACGCAACGAAATTGACGTCATAGTCCCCCAGTGAAATGTGTGGGCTTCGGGCCAAAGGAGAATAAAGACAGGCTTTTCATCTCTACAGGTAAAAGCTACGTGCTTGTCAAGCCAGTTGATCGCTTATCTTTTACACCAGACCCCACTGTGGAGATGAAAAGCTTGTCATTATTCTCCTTGCTCTCGCACCGTGGCAGCTGCTGGCTCGGGGAAAGATCGTCCGCCATTTATTATAGACACTGAAATGTTTGGTTCAGCATCCCTTTAAAAGCTGTAGAGAGAGCTCGCCCTGTAAATGTGTTTTTCGTCCAGGCTGTGAAGCTGTGCCTGGAGAGCGGCGCCCTGATCAGCACCCAGCAGCATGACCTGTCGACCCCGGTCCACCTGGCGTGCGCTCAGGGTGCCATCGACATCGTCAAGCTGATGTTCTCCTCCCAGCCGGACCAGAAGTTGCACTGCCTCACCTGCAGCGACGCCCAGCAGATGACGCCACTGCACTGCGCCGCCATGTTCGACCACGTCGAGCTCGTCGAGTACCTCGTGTCCGAGGTAGGCGTCCCATAGCGGTAGCATTTATTGTAGTCGAATTTGGAGTGACCAGTTATGATAATCTAAATTTGACAAATTTAAATGATCATAATACGCTTTTATGTCTTTTTTTTTTTTTTGGCCGGAAGAATAAAACACCCATCGCCGAACGCTCATTCTCCTAGCATAACCTAACCTACCCTGACCTAACCAAATACTAAAGTCTCAGCAATAACCGCATTTTATTCAAAAGGTATAAGTGATGCCCTGAAATTTTCAGTGGGAAAATGGCGGCGGAGAGAGGTCTCGTTAAGTGTCAATACACGAAGCTCTTTGGCGCCAGTTACCGAAAACGGGCGAAAATGGGCCCCACTTTCCCATTGAATTTTGCAGAAAGCCACTTATAACTTTTGAAGAAGATAATGGTTCGTGCTAAAGCTTTGGCATCTGGATCCGACCGCTAGCTGAACATTTGGGCAAAGAATGAGCGTTGGGCAATGCGGAATTTATTTTTGCAATAAAAACATAATGTTTTTTTGTTGTTGTTTTATTTTTTATTTGGGGGGGGGGCGTTGTATTTGCTGTACCTTGAATAAACACAAATAACGACCAAATTAACTTATGTGAGTAAAAACTTGGAAGAGAGCATTTAAATAAAGAAAGTGAAATCTAACGCTAATTATCGCAATGGATGTATAAGCTTTAATGTTAGTGTAAGAAAAGCTATGGCCCTGTTTTCAAAAAGTAGAAACTAGAATTAATATATCTGTAACGTCGTCATCTAGAATCGAAACAAAAGTTGGTGATCATTCTTTGTCGTGCCAGTCGCGCTTTTGTGAGCACTCCTAAACGTTTCTTGCATTTCGTCCGTAATTGAGTCTGGTTTATAATTTGAAGAACTAATATGCTAAAACCGTTAATTTATTTTAAACAACGAATTGGAGTTTGCAAGTGCTTCCGCCACAGGCGCGCGGTCAGAAACATTAGCTCTTACCTCTCTAAACTGTCATTATAGTGGTGTGATGCCGCTCTCTGTGAAAGAGCGCGTGTACCTCATGTGCAAATGCTTCGCGTTTCATAAAAAGATATAGAAGTATCCTGCGCATGCGTACCAGCACGGCTTCTATGACAGACGTAATTGTCCATAAACATCGATATGTGAAGAAAAGAAATCTCTCTTTGGCTTATAGCAGGGGTCGGCAACCTTTTGCTTCAGCGGGTCAAAACGCCTAAAATTGAGGACGAAGCGCGCCGGATCAAAGACCGGAGAGGGTGAAGAAAGGTGGGAGGGAAGGGAAGAAGGATGCCCCCCTCTTCTTCCTAGCTCTCCAAGGTCAACAAGGGGTTCAAAAGCCTTACCCCCCCCCCCCCCCCCCCCCCCCCCCCCAATGACGAAGCAGGGTGAACTCGGCGCTACAGACGCTCACAAATAGGGAAGCGCTGTTAAGATAAAGCGAGTGAAGCTGCATGCATTGTTAATTTTTAAGACGCTGCAGGCTTCACTTGGGCTCCCTGTTCTACTGTTGTCGTAGTTGCGGCCCACCAACTTGAAAGGCTTCCTCTCAAAATACAACTCCCCCTCACTTTTTGAGGTCGCACTGCGTTACCAACGCGTGCCGGCCAGACAAAACAAAAGGATAGCTATACACTGTAACAAAATATAAAAAAAAAAAGCTTTTGACGCTGAAAATTTAGGGCAAACGTCCACACACAAAAACTAGGCCATATTCCAAGCCGCCATTAAAATGGCCGAGACGGCGCAAGTTGAAATTCAGATGCCACGAGTAACAAGTTGGCAACGTCACCGCTGTAACGTTGCCGCTAGAAGCACGGAAGAGCATTTTAAGCGCTTCGTGTTCCTTCCTTTCGTAGCACCGGCGTACGTTGCAATTACTTTAGGCGTTTCTGCGTGCAAATATCTTGGAAAACGGGGCAGCTCATGGCGCTGAAGAGTTTTTGGAGCTCTATTCACGCCTGGTTTCAGTTCCTGAACGCCAATGCGAGCTGCTCATGTGGGCTTCCAAATGCAAGACGGAGAAACGTGAAACGCTGGTCACGTCCGCGCTACAGGTGGTCGCCCTCTGTCCGGTTGCGCCACCTCGCGGCCGCCCTTCCGTGTGTGACGTAACTTGTAGGATGCGAGCAGACGACGCGCTATGTCACAATCAAAGCACGGAGTAACTATGTTAGTTCGCAACTATGCAAATTAAAACGGGTTATTTATTAAAGTAACGCGTATAACGTTTTTGTGAGTAATCTTTCTAACAAATAACAGCGTCTCGAAGTTGCTTTTTTATTAGAAAAACTTAAAAATGTTCAAAAACAAGCCTGGAGCTTCACATTACAGCTTGCGCGGCGTGCGTCAGGGCTATTCAAAGCCTCTCTAACTCTTGTTCTTTTTTTTTTTCGGATTTCTGTAAATTTTTGTTTTTGTTTTAGAAAAAAACAACCGCATCTCCACGTGGTGAATGATGTTGATTGGGGCGAAGCTCTGGTGGTGCTTGTCTGCGTGGACGCTGAGCCGCAGCATGCTGAGCCTTTCGTTCGTTTTCATTCATGTCACGCTGCGGTCAAATGCTCAAATGCGTATATAACCACGTTCCATACCACACATTCTTTTTCTGACATGGATGGAAACGAACGAAAGGCTCGGCATGCTGCGGCTCACCGTCTACGCAGGCAAGCACCACCAGAGCTTCGCCCCGATCAACATCATTCACCACGTAAAAATGCGTTTTTTTTTGTGTTTTTTTTTTGCCTTACACGAGCACGGGAACACGTGCTCACGTACACGAGCACCCGACGCCGGACATCAGACGGACATACGTACATGGCTAGCCCCTAAGAAACTTCGCTCCTAAAAGGTTTTGCATTCACCAGAGTAATTGACGTAGTGTCTTCTTAGCTTTGAACGTGCGCACGTTGAAAAGCGCCGCACACTTGTTTTAGCTGCATCGAGCTTGCCGATACCGACGCTTCTATCCAGGTGTGACTCGACAGTTGCTGCCGAGCAAATACTCGTCAGCAACTGACGCTTAGCTCTTCCCGAATCGAAAACGCGACAAAGAAGTTTGTCACATCGCGTCTTCTGCTCAAAAGAAAAGAAGAAATTTTCATAAATCCTGAAATTGTCGGCCATGCCCGGCGAATTCGGGCTATTGATTAATTTGTTCTATCCTATTTTACCAAGAATTGTTTACAAATTTAAAATCGCTCGCCGAGGAGCGCATCACGCATATGCGCATTTGGGTTCGCATTTTCGAAACATACTAACGGTAGTAATTTATAGCAGGTATATTCCTCATTTTCTAGGACGCTGAAGTGTCACCGACTTACAAGATTACTTCGATCGCGAGGGGGTCTCGCAGTGTCACCGACTTACAAGATTACTGGGATCGCGAGGGGGCTCTTTTGGTAGCGTGTCGGGGGCCGCATAATATTTCCTCTCTGGCCGTGGGTAGCGCCATTTTGAGAGCGAGAGAGAAAAGGGGAAAGGGCTACCGGCGCTTTCCTCCTTTCTGATTGTGTCGAAGGTGTGGAAGTCCCGGATGAGAGGCTTGGCCGGTGTTGGGCGTCTGCGGTGCCCCAACTTCGTTCGCGCTTTCTTCTACGTTTCAAACTCCCAAACTTAATTAGAGCCATGGTCTTTAATGGCGACAGTCCCCCGGTCATCGGGACACCATTGCTGGGTGATAGGGTGCACGAATAACGACACAAAGCGTCGAATACTGTCCGAGGACCTATGTAGCTTGCATGGAATCCGGCAAGGCAAGTACGGCTGGAATGTTTTTAAGCTCCATTGCTTTCCGCATGACTGGAAATGATGAACCATTTATACATTTTTGCTTGCAATAGGCCTATTTCAACGTAGCCGCTTTTAGTTGTAATCAACAAACGATACACGAAACGGGAACCTCAATTAACATTGTAGACGCCCGGAGCTGCTACATATCGTCTTGCTGCGCTGTTTTTATCTTCGTGCCCCTGTTCATATATTTCCTTGTGAATGAACGACGAAGACGCTCTAGATGTACTTTTATCGAACCTCAGAAAGCCTCGAAGCAGCCACGAATTATTTTACTATTTGATGCAATATTTTGAGTACTCACCTCCAATTTCTAATGCTGGCACGTTCGCTGCCGCTGGCGGATGCCATGACTCGAACAAACAAACGTGCGCACTGGGCTCGAAAACGCAGATCGCAACACACGAGACGTTCCCTGCAGCGACTATCAAGCGCCCCAAAGCGCCTTAGTCAACGGAAACAACCCACCAGCGGCACTCCAAGGAGCGCTTTTGCCGGCTCTCTGGTATCACGCAGGAGATCGCGATTAAAAAAAGAAAAAAAACAACAACAACAACAATAGAACTACGTTTTCAACAATTTCCAGCCTCACCCGGCGGCGGAAATAAGCCTTCAACTAAGTGTTGTAGATGATAAAATCGATTCAGTCACCACTGCAAATTATCACTATTAAGATAAATTCAGTTACGAAATTTTACAAGTTGAAACAGCAGTTATCATGAGAAAACTCGCACGCACATTGCGAGCGTACCCCATGTTCATCGGCGGTACAGCGTTCGGTGCGCGCTCCATTCACGAAATGTTCCGAGCGAAGTCGAGAGGATGGCGTTGAGGAAACGCCTTTTCGGTTTACGGACGCAAGTAATCCACTGCCTCCGGAGACAGGGGTCATGTGGAAAGCGATGGAGTTCAAAGACATTGCAGCCGCTCTCGCCTTGCTGGATTCCTTGCAAGCTACATATGTCCTCGGACAGTATTCTATGCTCTCTGTTTTTATTCGTGCACCATATGACCCAGCAATGGTGTCCCGACGACCGGGCGACTGTTGCCATCGAAGCCTCTGGCTTTAATTAAGTTTGCGAGTTTAAAACAGAAAAGAAAGCGCGAACGAAGTTCGCGCACAGCAGACATCCAACACCGGCGAAGCCTCTCATCCGGGACTTTCACTCTTTCTACACAATCAGAAAGAGGGAAAGCGCCGGTAGCCCTTTCCCCTTTTCTCTCTCGCTCTGGCCGCCGCCATTTTGTGAACCGAGCGACCCCTATCAGCCAGAAATTTCTGGCACCCGCCTGAGCTGTGGAAACCCGGTCAGCGTGACTCCCCACCTGCATTTTGCATTCGGAGTTCGCCGGCTTTCCTTGGAAGTTTTTGCTTTATTCGCCTGTTTAGGATGCTTACCCTTTGTATGTTATCTTCTACTGTGAGAACCAGGGAATACCAGGGCTCGTAGCCCGCTCGGCCTTCGCAGGAAACGAACGAAGAGAGCGAACGTCAAGCAGCCCGCTACGCAGGCAGTTCGACGCGCTTGGAGGATTATTTCCGTCGAGATAATCTCCAAAAAGCCTTCCAGGCTGTGTTTCGGGTCTTCGAAAAAACTAGCTGATAGGGTCGGGTCCGGGGTGTGGCGACGGAATAAGCACGTTCGTTCACTTGCTATGAAGCTGTGCAAAAAAGCAGCTCTCTTCTACATGTTCCCCAAAACACGCCAGATTCCGTCCGATCGTCGTGAAGTGACTATCGTCGACACTGTATATCGGATATGCTGTTATTTGAGACCTTTCTCAAATCCTGTTCGGATAACGCGGCACCGAGGGGTACGTACAATATATTTTTTGTTCGATTGATGAGACTCATTGAATTTTATGTTGTGGGCGGAGAATATCCATGCAGTACGGATATCCTGTGTGGTCAAATATTTTGACCTTTATAGATTGACACGGCTGAGTGTACGGTGCCGTAAAAGAATGAGCATAAAATGAAACAAACATTCCAGTTGCATTTGTTCTTTCGCGCACGGACTCACCAAAACAGCTTTCATTTCTTCGTTTTTGTTCCCAAAAATAAAGCACTGCTTTCTTAAAGACCTCTATAAATTATGCTCGCCACAGAACACAAGATAAAAAAGAAAACGCGGCAATTCAGCCGCCACCAGCGTCCGGAATGGCGCCAACGCAGGCTGCCACAGCCTACTGACGAGAAACTCCACAGCTCAGCGCAGTCGGGCAACACTGACGTACCCTCTCAAAACCAGGGACATGCACTGTAAATCGCTTCGTTCGAGACTGCCGCTGGAAAGGTCTATGGCTTAAAAAATGCTGCTTTGAATCTCAGTCATATCTGTTATACGGATAAATTAAAATTTATAATGCACTAGAGCGTTCCTTTAAACAGAAAAGGGAAGACTAGCGAAAAAACAAATGGGGAAAAAAAACAAAAAAAACAACAAGCGAGCAAATTGTGGTTTCGGTTTCTGTTCCGTCACATTCACCACACGCTGATGACATCTTGTCCTTTTGTATCAAAATAACTTAGAGAATAATTCAAACAAGTTATCCTTCATCTAGAAAAGATCAATGGCGTTTTCCAGCGAAGTAGAAGTTTTCATATCTTTTGATGTTCGTTGATTATCTGACTAGAGCCATTACCCATTACTGCCATCACTATCCAATCCGATCCAGGACTGCTGGCGCCATGGACAAGATCGCCATGGATTTGAATTTCTGTGTTCGGTGTGTTTTGGAGTTCGATTTACGACATTCGGGGCGTTGTAGCCTGTATTCGTTTGTGCATCTTTCAAGAATATGCCTCGACCTTTCCATCAGCAAAATGACAACTCGCTGTAGTTCCCAGAGTTCTTTTGAATGCCTACTGATCATGAACTGCCGTACGTACCCATCCGGCCCACATTTATTTGCTACCCTTATCATAGCGATCGTACTTTAGCGTAGTTTTTTGCTTCGTTTATAATCGGGGAAATGCCGATGCGACGGACGCAGGGAGCAAGCATGACGGCCACAGACAAGGAAGGCCGATCCGTGATCCTTCTGGCCGCCGCCCGCGGTGCCTGGAAGACGGTCACGACGCTCCTCACCCTCGGCGCAGACCTGACGGTGAAGGACAACCTGCGCCGGAACCTGCTGCACCACATCGTCCTGAGCGGCGGATGCCTGGATGACTTCTACAACGAAATCAACGAGGTACTGCCATCATCGCGATCGTATTGGCATGCAAACGAGAAGCATTTGCTTATGACACTTGGCGCACTTTAAAGGGACGCTGACAGGGTATTTACGCTCGCCGAGGTTTTTAGTTGTACCTGACATATGAGAGCCCAACTACCCAGAACAGAATTTGCGGCTCGAAATTCGGTTTATTTCCGCCCGAAAACCGCCGATCGAGAACTGGCCTGTTTGAGTCGCGCTCACTCTCTTTTCCGTGGTCACGGGCCGTTTTCTTAGGTTTCGACGTGACCACCAAATTTAATCAAAGTCGTGGGTCATTGATGGCACACAGTCAGTATTAAAAGTAGAAACCAAAATATGAAACCTATTCTTTGTGGCTTCCAGAAAGCTGCAAATACGTTGATTAAAAAAAAAAAAAAAAAGGTAGCACAGACAACTGGAAACATTCTGTGCGTTCACTGCATAATTCTCAACGTGGCACCGTTTTGCGTATCATGGGACCACAGTCGGGGGACTAGCGGATGGCAGCGGACGACGGGCGTTGGACCTCTACTTAAGAACTGTCGTTCACAGTACCGGCGAATTCTGTCTTCCTTCGAAAGAGAAATTTTGAACCGATCAAAAGAACTGATATTCATCCCGTACGACACGCCCGACCAGCAAGCCGATTGCACGAGGCGTCGCCGAGCTGTCGTCCCTTGTGGCTGAAGACATCGCTCGCTCAATCAACAAGCACTAAATGCGTACTTCGAGTTGAATACGCATGCGTACGGTTTCTTTACTGGATGTGAATGTGGCCAATGCGTGGTGCTGCCCGACTTCAAGCCGGGAGTGCATGTATTGAAGGGAAATCGGCAGAAAACTTCCGGCATACAGTCTACCCATTGTATTACTATGCATTATTGAGTTTCTTCAGTAGCTCAGTGGAAAGACGTCCGCCTCACACGCAGAGGGCACGGGTTCAATCCCTGGTGTGGGTGTACCTTTTTTTTTTTTTTTTTGACAAGCATTTTGCAATGTTTACATTTCATTGTTTACCATTATCACTGAAAAAAACAATTGCTTTGGACGATACATCGCTGAAATAAGTGGTATGGGATTCCATTTTTGACACCTGTGAACCCAATGTAGTCACTTTCCACAAAATGCAAGGAGCATATGAATCGAATAGCGTCTGCTTTCCGAGCTTCGCGTAACTGTTCTACAGGAATTGAAGCCAGCCATTGATACCGACCCGGTGATCTTTTGGAAACTTCTGCACTTTGCTGCACAATGCCACTTTCAGATGCAGGACATGGGAGGCAACTCTTCACGCAACATCTTGGGAGTATTCTTTTCGGAGCCGATCACGGGAATTCACCACGGCACTCGGGCACTTACAAGTTACTACTAATTGCCAACACTTAAATGTACAAAACAACTCATCTTGAAGTACAGAAGAGCGAGCAGAACAAACATAACTGCAAAGGAATCGCATGGCGAACAAACACATTTCGTCTGCTACGTGCGGGGAGAAAAAAAAAAAAAAAACCCGCACGGTTGGGTGTAGCCACTTGATTTCCGCCACTCACTCTATCCTCTCCACTTTACCGTGCGGTGCGGGAGTTTCAGTTTCGAGCAGTTACGTTTTTTGGCTTTATTAAAAAAATGTGTGACTCTGTAGCAAAATATTAATTGGTTAGTATTTCGACAACCATAAGGAATCGCCTGACAAAAAAGAAAAAAAAAAATTGTGGGGGGTGTCAGTGTTCCTTTAAGGCTTTAAGCTGCACCTCAGTTTTAGAATCCTTCTTTTCTTTTTTATTAAAGCATAGAATGTGTTTTGTTAGCCAAATTTCATGAAAAACTGTTACATTTGATTGACACTAGCCTGACGTCATGAGATCACTTGACACCGTGACGTCACGAACTGCCACGTTATGCGACGTCGCAGAGCACGTGACCTCAGGACGTCACGTGACAACATTGTTTTGCGTTGCAACATGACGCGATGTGTGTCGTTTGTGCTAGGGCTGCCCCAGCCACATTGGCCTCACTTACAAACCCCACACGGGGTGTGGGGTTTGCAGTCAACATATTCTATGATTGCGGTCTTTGGCAGCATCATCAAGCTTTTCTAATGCTTTTTTTTTTGTACTTGACTGAATATGGTTTTATGGTGGAGCCTGAGCGAGTTTGTGTGTTCTCGTATCAGCACCCTACACACTCGTTGAAATCTTGCCTGAAAGGGTGCCAACATTTACATGTGAAATCTGGCACACGTCAGCTGGCTCACCTCACCTGGCTCGGCCGTGAATCTTGCGAACTGTACAATATTTTCTCAGATTTCGGGGTGTTTCAAGGAGCTTAAACAGTAAGCTTGATGAACACATGGAAGGGCCTCCTTGGAAATGCTTATACTTCCTGACTTTTGTGTTACGATCCCGATGGATCCTGTTCGGGAGATAAAGGAGGGTGCTAAGGTCTTTTAAGAGTGGCAACAGCAATGAAAGAGGAGGGGAGGATTTCTTCCCCTTCCCCCGTATGTTTACATGTAAGTGTCTGAAATGTCAGGTGGGCGATTGCCTCCCCTGTCCTCCCCTGTTCTCCACTGTAACCCTATTTAAAATGGTCAGGTAAACTGCCTGCCACGTCTACTACCCTCTCTTGTTCTTAACCTTTCTACCTTAATAGCTTGTGCATCTAAGGTGCTGGGCAAGAGTCGGAGTTTGTTGGTGCCTCTCCACAGACGCTTTCTGAAATTCAGTGTTGTCTAGCAGCTGAAACAGCAGTCTGTCAACTGGATATTAAATATATTGCAGTATTTCATAGTGCAGTCTTACTTTCCTGTGTCACCGGCGGACAGGATTGTGTTCTTCAATGCTCACATCATGCATGATTTATTTCAGTTTTGACAGCAACAAACAAAACCACCTGTCTGTACTATGCACTGGCCTAAGCTCTTGTCAACACGTTTACTTAACTCGAGTCCGCGGGAAAAGTTCACAGAGTGCTCGTGTCCGACATGCCGCCCGCTTTGGAGCGTATGTCTTCATCTTCTTTCTTTATCGGTCCCGAAAAAGTCGTTATTAGTACGGCAGAGACACTATACACTCAAATAACGACAGTGATCGTCGAATCACTATTGTCATCAAAGATTTTGAAGTCGGTTGCCATGCTGCATTTGTGCGAGTCCTACCACGTCTGCCCAGCTCGTCTAGCAAGCCGAGGGTTTCTCTTGGACGCGTTTCCTACTTCATTCTTTTTTGGCCATTTCGCATTGGCATTTGTCGTAACGCCGTGCAATCTTCTCATTCCAGCGGCTCCAAGACTTTGCCCTGCTGCTCAACGAGCGAGACATGCAGGGCTGCACGGCAATGCACTACGCCTCCCGTAACGGCCAGCTCAAGACGATAGAAGGCCTCCTCCAGTTCGGGGCCATCGTCAACCTCAAGAACAACGAAAACCAGTCGCCGCTACACTTCGCTGCGAGGTACGATATTGTTGTGCACGGTCAGCTTGTTCAATTGCTTTTGAAAGGCACGGTGATGTGCTGAACGGTTTGTTCAATTGCTTTTGAAAGGCACGGTGATGTGCTGAACGGTCCATCAAAAGGCTACACCAAACTTCAAGATGTTGGTAAACTGTGCCGCTGTAGTATTCGCGACTTCTGCAAAATCAATGGCACCTAGCGGCTAGAACAGAAAGTAGTAGATGCCGATTTGCTCGCCGGCTTTCTTGGGTGAATTGGATGTTCACAGTTTTCGGCGGTCTAGAAGTGAAGTTGTCGACGTAACTGGCAATACATTCAGCGACTCTGATGCACTAAAAAAAAAAGTGGGCGTACACGCCTATGTCCTTATGTGAAACTGGCTATCCTATTCCCAAGCTTTATTTAACTTCAAGACATGGGTGGCCCTGCGAATTTGAGCCTTGGTACAGTTTTTATGCTCTGGGGTGCTCTAGAATGGCATGTGATCCGATCTGATAGAACCCGAAAAACTTAAAACTGAGCAAATGAACAAGACAAAGGCAAAGCGGTATCTAGTTGAGTTTAGATCCTACAGTTTTGGGCAGCACACTCTTGGTTAGAGAGGAGAAAATCTGAAGGACGTACAGAAATAGATGGGCAAGTAAGAAAGACGAGAAACAACTTTATTGCAGCTAATCCGATACTCGCGTATGGGGAAGCAAGCAAACAAATATATCTACTTGTGCTTGAATTATTTTTTTTTGTGTTAAATGTTCTGCGGAAAGAGCATGCATCTGCTGTGCAGAGGTTGGTGGATAAGTGCCACATTTTGCCTAGTCCCATTTCAATTTCACTAAGATTTTGATGATTTGGAAATTTCTTTCTCAAAAGCATAATTTAAAAGAAATACAAGCTCATTTATAGCTACCCTTTTTAGGGATGCATAGTGTACCAATGGACACCTACTGAATCTGCAAAAGTCTCTAGAATCTCATTGTTCAGGAAGACCCAATTGGTAACTTCCACCCAACAGTGAAAGGATGCACCATCTTTGTTCCTGGGAACTGCGCCGAGATTAGATGAGAACTGACTACGCTTACGACGCTCGTTGTCAGGTACGGGCGTTACAACACGGTGCGTCACCTGTTGGAAAGCAAGAAGGGTCACCTAATCATCAACGAAATGGACGGCGAGGGCAAGACGCCCCTGCACATAGCCTCGCAGAATGGCCACACGCGCGTCGTACATCTACTTCTTGTGAAGGGAGCACTTCTGCACAGGTGAGCAACATCACCTGCTCACACTGGTTTGTGGGTTCTAGAACCTTTCTTATTCTTACGGATCCATTTTTTTCACGAACTAGTATGTGCACCCTGGATTTTTTCGGTCAAAGATTGGAGTCGTCTGTCCACCCCTTTCTGCAGAAATTCAGTCGCCACTGTCTGTCTGTGTTTTCCTGTGCTCTGCCTTTCGTGTTTGGGGTTTGGCACTAGACTGATGTTTGAAAAGAGTTAATTGGTGTTTTGTGCCTTTAGCTTGGTTTTCTCTCGTAGCGAATGGCCTCACGTCGCTGGGGTTAGCCTGGAAATGTGGTCATTCAAAATCTAAGTAAAATGAGATTATCTCGTCCCGATGAATTTTCTGTTCAGTCATGCTCTTGGGAGACAATTGCAGAAACCCAGGAAAAGTGAAGTTTTGAAACCTTTCTCCAATAACTAAAACAAACAAAAAAAGACATAAGCTTTTTGTATTTGTTTTTTTCTCAGTTATTTAAGTAAGCCTTGGAGCCAATATTTACTTGATGGCTCTAAAAGTCGCAGTATCATTCTCAATGAGGGAGACAAGGGTTGTCTGGTTTCCAGAAATAGCAACCATTTGATAATAAAGTTGACCTTTGACAGCACTTTTGTCATTCTTGTTTCTAGGGACCACAGGGGAAGGACCCCACTTCACTACGCAGTCACCAACGGGTTCACGCACACCATGGAACAGTTGCTAGCGGTCCATTCCCATCTCTTAGACCAGAGTGACAGGGACGGGGTGAGGGAATTGCTCACTATGTTCACACTTTTGCTCTGTTTTAGGAATGAACGGGCGGTTCTTGCGGGATGGTTGTTCTCAGGAAGCATACCTAGGATTTGCAAGCTGCTGGTTGCTTCATGCATGCTGTGCCTGTGACTGTGATGTAGATTAGCTTTGCTCGGGCTTTAAATTAGCATAGTTTATGCATGTGAATTTGTTCATACAGGTTTTACGATTTTTCTTTATATAGTTTGCTTCTTTTTTAGAAGTCTGGGTATTGCAACATCTAAAAAAACAACAAAGTAGCACAAACAGTGCTACTTTACACTTAGGACACTGGGCACTAACTGCTCACGTCCATGCTATTTTTAGTGCGCTACCATTGCAACCAAAGCCAATATATGTAGAGGATTCCCAAAATTTTCAGTAACATTCATGCTGTGTAAATGCCAGGCTGCTTATAGCACATGACCAACCCAACAAAAACATGTGAAAATACGAGTCTTTTATAAAGGGTTGTTGCAACACAGCAGATACATTATGCTACACCCCACCAATAAAGGTTGATCCAAAATGTAATGTGCTCTATATGTTCTTTATTTTTTTTACACAATCACAGGTATCCTTATGAACTGCGCATAATATTGTATAATGACATCATTGTGAGGGTATCAAGATCTCAAAATCTGTAGTGCTTTTTCTATGAATCATAATTCAGTCAATTAGCCATTCATGTACACAAGATAAAGAGGTGATGAAAATGCTATTTGCTTCTTATAAACTGATATTTATAAGAGCCCTTTTTTTTGGCAATGAATTCCTGAGTGAGCACTGCTTTGTATTTATGGGCAGCAAAAGCAAACCTCTTAGAAAAAATGAGCACCTTGTTCCTGGCAAGGACATATCCTCTGGTGCATCCCATCAGGATCAGAAAAACTAAAATAAAATATTGAGGTTAATGGTCCAAAAAGGCATCATACTATAGCAATGAACTCTCTGTCTAATTCCAAAACATCCTACTATAGTACTGAAATTCTATGTCCAACTCCGATTCCATAGGAAGTCAGGGCTGTCTCTGATTAATTTTGGTTTTTGAGAAACGCCTCTCTTACGGATAATGGATGGAGTGTTTTTAATTGTTTCCGTAACGTTCCTCTTGTGACTGGCCAGAACACAGCTCTGCACCTAGCTGCGATGCACAATAAGTCGAACACGGCCTCGCTCCTGCTGAACCTCAACTGCAAGATTGCCCACAACGAGCAGGACTTCACCCCGATAGACTATGCGCTCCACTACAAGCACAGCGAGGTGGCCATGGCGATGGTGACTCACCCCACCAGGTGAGGCGCTGCGGACATCGCCTGCATCTCGTACCGTTTCAGCCTATCTTCGTCCTTGTGGTTCTTTTGGTGCTGCTGTCTTGCACGTCGCTCACAGACCTTGAGCAAGCGCAGATTTCTCCGCTCGATCCTGGGTCCCATACCAACCAACTTTTTGCTATCCGCTGCCCTGGTACACTTGTGTTGGACTGAGGCCTCTAGGGCTGCGGCCTTGTTTGTGTATTTCGAAAATTGTTTAACTCTAAGATGCTAAAGGGGCTATTCTTCAAGTAATGTTCCTTCAGTCGTATTGTTGCATTGGATCACCGTTGCCAATGGCTGCCAGGTTTTGTCGATGCGGCCAACAGGAAAGTCAGGTGGCACTTTTTATTTCCCTTGTTAAAGCAGTTTACGACAGAGCAGAATGACATTGCTGGAGTATCCTTAGAGTGAATCTAAAATTAAAGGAGTCACATTTCCGAACCGTAACTGTCACCTATAGCGCTTGCCAGTCTCTATCTGGGCTACCAAATGGCGGTGTCCACGAGTCGCTCGCGCGTGTAAACAAATGTCACGCGACAAGAATGGACGAACAATCATATTTGTATCATAGACAATCAGTGACAAGAGTGTTGGTTTTTTGAGCATTGCTCCAAAGCTACTCTTATTTAATGGTACAGTGTTGTAAACTCATTGCAAGAGACCTTGACACTAGTGATGAAGATTTTGGTCTGTTGCAAAGGAGTATACAGAGTGCAGTCACCCTTACTACGGACTTGGACGTGGATTATGACCAGAGTCTGTTCTCACCAGTGAGACTGATGAAATGTGAATGGATATATTAGAAAAGAACTGGTTTATTGAAACTTCTTAACTTTGAAAGGTAGGATTTTTTTATCGAGTTGCGCCGATGATCGCCGTCACCGCACGCTTTGGGTGGTGCGGGGCTCACAGGGTGCCAAGCGCGATGACAGCAGTTTGCAAAATGGATGCCATCGCTACCGAACCAAAGTAGCATAATGTCCGAAGTAATGACTGCCATCTAAGAGTCCACCATGAAGGAATTGTGAACCACTTACAAAATCCCTAGTATAGTCCATTATATCTGAATGTATGTTCTAACAGAATCTGTAATAAGCAAAGTTGGCTGAATGGCATGGACAGGAAGACTAGCCAAACTTCACAAATCGGTATGTTATGACCGAACGTCTGCTGTAACCAGGTCTGCTGTAACAATGTTATATCATAAATGCTTACTAGATTTTATTTTCTTGGCACCTATTGGCTTCAAAGTGCATCTGATACTACATCTGTTTATTTGTTTGCAGGAGCGAGGAGGTAATGAGTTGCCGGACCAAGCGATACACCTGCCTCGTGGAGGGACTCACGGCCGTGATGCCCGAAGTCATGATGGTGCATTACTCCTTTATTTAACTAAGTTTGGTCGAGTACCCTAGAGGCCCTCTCGGAGTTTAGTACGTTGATCAGCGTGGAAAGCACTTTCGTGTGCGTACCGTGCTCGCGCAAAGGAAAAGCTCAAGCTTCCTTCACCCGTTCCAATGTTGTCAATCTTTTCGGAGGTGAGTGCCACGGGGGCTCTAACCTATGCGGCGGGTCAAAGGGACTGGGGCATCACCGCCCTGCGATCGACCGGCTTCGTACTGCTGACAAACCGCAGGAGTCAGCAATGTCCTGTCCCCTTGGTCCCACTTGCTCCTGCCGTGTACTAGATTTGGGCCTCCAGTGTACCCTAAGATCGCCGTACGGTCATTGATAGGATTAGGATGGCAGGTAAAGCCTCGGTTACCTTGTCTTTGGCGTGGGCTTTCTACCTTCGACAACACTTCCACGTCTTGCGAGCCTCGAGCACATGCTGGAGGCTGCGGGGCATTCGAAAGAGAGGCCCCGCCGTACTCGTCCCGTCTGTGACTACAGCAGAAGGAAACTGTTAGCAAAGAACAATTCCACACTTGTGCCTCTATCTCCTATACTCCGTTTCGCTTTAAAGGGCAACTCCGGTTCATTTTTGGTTTTGAAGAAGCAATGCAGTCCTCTTCAGTATCGCCTAGGAAGACCACACGTGAAATGTTACGACGCAGTTCTGTCTAAATGTTTCTTAAACGGTCTGGCAAACTTTGCAACTCGCCAAGTTGCCGAAATCGGCTGACTTGAGCGGGCGAATTCAGGCGCAACCAACAGCGCAGTCAAGGCTACGGCATGGGCGGAGCTAACATTAAGCTAAACGTCATTATCATGGCCCCCTTTTGCTTGTTTTCACTTCTCCGGGCGAGCGTAGCGCATGACGTCAGCAACGTTGCCTCTCGGCGCTCAGCGGTGTCCACGTGATTGGTGTAATGCGCCTGCGCAGCGCGTTTCTTGGGAGCCGTCTGGCCGCCCGCCGTGGTCCCGCCGTTACCGCCGTCTTCCGCGTCACAACCGCTGTCGTCGTCTCACCGATTGTGATTATTGTCTCTCGGAGTTTCGTCCACACTGCGGACAGACACCACGTGTGCAGACTTATGCCGCAGTTGTGCAGACGTCGTCGAATGCCGTAGACACCAAAACGTGGCGAAGAGTGCGGTGCAGACGACACTCGCGCCTGCCACACGCCCGCCCCAATCCCGCCCGTCTTTGGGCCGAGGATCACGTGACATCTCGTACCACGTGATGGCCATGTACTTGGCGACCCGAGGCCAATGTTGCTGGGCAGAGCCGAAGTTTCGGTTTCGATTTCCGCTCGTGTTTAAAATTAGATTTAAAAATATATATCCCATTTTTCGCGAAGCAAACGACGTAGTGTGTTTTATTAGGGCTTTTTAATTCGAAATCAATCATTATCCCGAAATCTCTGGAATTGAGTGGAGTTGCCCTTTAAGCCTTTGCGGTCATGTGTCGGGCCACGCCCGACATTGAAGAAACACGCTTCCGGTCCGCTGTCGGGCGTCGCCCGACACGCGTTCCCGCGCCCTTTTAAACGTGCTCCTTCGCTCCTTTTTTGCTGGATTGGTGGCGCCATCTCTAGGAACGTTTATACACTTCACTTTTGAAAGGGTTTTAGTTTTTTCTCATAGAGGGCAGAAGTAACCCTAAACAGTCTAAACAACGGAGGAGCGCGCAAATTTCAATTTCGCTGCCACGAGGGATGGCCACGTTCCAGCCACGCTCGTTTTATGGTAACTCTTTGCGTGATGTAGTTGAAAGTGACGACAATTTCAGTGAAGAGGACAACTATATCCCTCCGTCAGATGATGAAGAGACGTCCTCTGCTGATTTGAGCGAAAGTAGTGATGAAGATGAAACGACTGCTCAAGACAACAACCGCGGAGCCGCTCAGCCACACGCATCCTCCTGGAGTTTGTACACGAACAATCTCCCGGACTTTCCTGTGCTTACCTTCAGTGTGAGTAATCCCGGATCACAAATTGGGCCCTCAAATCTTCAATCTGAACTCCAGTTTTTTCAATTATTTTTCACGGATCAACTGATTGGAGAAATCGTTCACGAAACAAACCGGTATGCGTGCGAGAAGATTTCGTCTGCGGAACCTCTTGCAAAACATTCCATTTGGAAAAGCTGGGAGGACGTCACTGTCGATGAGTTCAAAGCATTTCTCGGAGTCCTTATGAACATGGCTCTGAATCCCAAGCCAGACATCAAAGAGTACTTCAGCGAAGAAATCCTGAAGAAGATGCCTTTTTTTCGACTGGTGTTCACCCGAACAAGATTTCTGCAAATTTTCTGGATGCTGCACGTTTCTCCTCCTCCGCAAGGTCCATCAGGACAGCCGACACGTGGCAGCAAGGTGAGAAACGTTGTCAGCTACATTGATTCAAAGTGCAGAGAGCATTTCAAGCCCGGTCCGAAGATTTGCGTAGATGAGAGCACCGTGGGCTTCAAGGGGCGAGTCTCCTTCAAGTGTTACAACCCCCAGAAGCCGACAAAGTGGGGCCTTCGGGTGTACGTACTCGCGGACTGCGCAACTGGGTATGTTTCTGCATTCGAGCCATACTACGGCAGCACTACTACGGAGAGCCTCCCTCGGCTAGACCTTCCTTTCACTTGCCGAATCGTCCTTCACCTTCTCGAGAAAGTGCAGTGCGCTTCGCCTGGAAGGGGGTACCACCTGTACACAGATAGGTTTTATACGTCGCCAACACTCGCCGAGGAGTTGCTTTCGCAGGACGTCAAGCTGACGGGGACTGTGATGACCAACAGAAAAAATATGCCGCAGCAGCTGAAGAAAAAGATGAAGAAGGGTGACGTAGTTGCTTACCGACAAGGGAACTCGTTCATGGCCCTTGCTTGGCAAGATAAGTGCCAAGTAACTATGCTGAGCTCCGCTCACAACCCCTCCATGAAGGCTGTGACGAGAACTCAAGCTCATGGTCAAACTGTGACGCTCCAGAAGCCCGTCGTCATTTGCGACTATACTGAAAACATGGGGCAGTGGACCGAGCCGACCACTACTGCGCAAGCTATGCCTTCTCTCGGAAATCTCTCAAGTGGTGGAGGAAACTTTTTTTCTGGATGCTTGAAGTTTCCATTGTCAACAGCTATCTACTGATGAAAATGCAGTTGGACGCAAATGGACTGAAAGGGCAGAAACACCTGCAGTACCGTCGCAAGCTCATCGAGCAGCTTGTCGGGGACCTCCGAGTGCGACCTAAGAAAAGAGGTCCGGCATCCCAATCCGACTGTGAAGAGCGGCTAGATGGAAGGCAGCACTTTATCTACAAGCTGCCAGAACGCAGCAGCAAGGACTGCGCAGTGTGCAGTGACCGGAAAACTAAAGGGGGCAGGAGAGAGACAGTTTTCTTCTGCAACACCTGCAGCAAGCATCCCGGCCTCCACCCTGGAGAATGCTTCGAGAAGTACCATACACTGACGAAGTTCCGCTAGAAAACGCGAGAAAGCAGGAGCTCTGCAAAAATAAATATTTTATGTTACCTTTGTACGCCGAAATAATTTTATGTTTCCGTGGCCCGTGCATCCAAAATAGTTTCTGACCGGAACGACCATTAAGTTGGTCAGAGCATCTGACCGCAAAGGGTTAAGTGTGAGCGTAGCAAAAGCCACAAAAGCGAGCTCCGGGCTTTCAGCGTCCCTGCCAAGCACGCGCATAAACCGAAACGGAGTCTAGGACCCTATTTAAAGGGCAACTCCGCTCAATTCCGAAGATTTCGGGATAATGAGTGATTTCGAATTAAAAAGCCCTAGTAAAAAACTCTACGTCGTTTGCTTCGCGAAACATGGGATATATATTTTTAAATCTAATTTTAAACACGGGCGGAAATCGAAACCGAAACTTCGGCTTTGTCCGGCAACATTGGCCTCGGGCCGCCAAGTACATGGCCATCACGTGGTACGAGATGTCACGTGATCCTCGGCCCAACGACGGGCAGGATGGGGGCGGGCGTGCCGCGTGCGGCAGAGTGTCGTCTGCACCGCACTCTTTGTCACGTTTTGGTGTCTACGGCATTCGACGATGTTTGCACAACTGCAGCATAAGTCTGCGACTTTGCGCAGTTTCGTCCATAGTGTGGACGAAACTCCGAGAGGCAATAATCACAAAAGGTGAGACGACGACGGTGGTTGTGATGCGGAAGACGGCGGTAACGGCGGGACCACGGCAGGTGGTTGGTCTGCTCCCAAGAAGCGCACTGCGCAGGCGCGTACGCCAATCACGTGGACACCGCTGAGCGCCGAGAGGCAACGTTGCTGACGTCATGCGCTACGCTCGATCGGAGAAGTAAAAACAAGCAAAAGGGGGCCATGGTGATGACGTTTAGCTCAATGTTGGCTCCGCCCATGCCGTAGTTTAACTGCGCTGTTGGTTGCGCCTGGATTCGCCTGCTCGAGTCAGCCGATTTCGGCAACTTGGCGAGTTGCAAAGCTTGCCGGACCGCTTAAGAAACATTTAGACAGAACTGCGTCGTAATATTTGACGTGTGGTCTTCCTAGGCGATACTGAAGAGGACTGCATTGTTTTTTCAAAACCAAAAATGAAGCGGAGTTGCCCTTTAAATGAGTAATAAGTGCTCTGCTTATGAAGAAAGCGTACAGATGACCTATCATCTCGATCGACAGAATGCAACGATTGGCTACGGGACAGATGACATCCTGTCGTGGAAATGTTGTCTGTGCAGAGTGATGGGATCATTCCTTTTGATTCCATTACTTGCAGTTTCTTATGTATAGAATGCGATGATCGGCCGTATCTATGCTCTACGGGAAAGTGGACCCACAAGCCTTTTTCTTAAGCACTGCGTCCATTACTCGAGTACATATGATACTAACTCGTCCCAACTCACGGTGCGAATCTCCAAAAATTACCGTGCTTCTGTCCAAACTAAGCCATGAGCGTCTTTGCTTCGCAAACTACTCTGTGCAGCGATGCTGGGAACTTTGATTTGTAGGGTTTGTTAATATATCTTTCTTGTCTTCCTCAGGCCGTGCTGGATAGGGGCATCACCAAGTCGAAGTATAGCCACGACTCCACGTCTTATTACGTGAGTTGGATTAGCACTTGCTCTCGCGACACTGCACATGGCTCACTTAAAATCTTCAGCTTGCCAGCACACCTGTACGGGCCGGCTAGGTTTCGACCACTGAAATTAGTTTCGTTCGATCCCTGCATTTCTTCTAACGTTTTCACGTACAAAATATAGGAAACTCGGCTATTTCATGTAATAAATGATTGAAGAATGCAGTGAGGTGACCAGATAGTAGTGATAAGTGGAGATTTCACTGTCAGCAGTAGTTTGTTTTGTTCCACTCTTTCCCGAGGTGCTACCAGGTGCTGTTTTTATTCTTTTGTAACAAAAATTTCACGGTGAGTGTCCTGGCTGTTGCAGTTTGTAAGATAGGGGAAGGATAGTTTTTGTTATGGCAGCAGAGACCGTGAAAAGCACTACAGTGAAACCCGTTTAGAACGAACCCATGTACAGCGAATTATTGTCGGTATCGAATTCACGAAAAATTTTAATAAAAATGGATGTAAAAAGTACTTTTTATAACGAACAACATATTGGCTAGATCAAACTTTTTCCCTCCAGGAAAGCATCCAAAACGCGCACACAATCGTCTTCTAGCCTGTCCCTTTCCCCCAAAAAGAAGTAGGAAAGAAAGAAAATTCCAAAAGCTCAAGTTGCGAACAAAATTGAGTAAAGAGAAGTGATTCAGAAGAGGAGGAAGCTAAAAAGTACTTTTGCACGCATGCAAAAAAAAAAGAAAAAGTTTTTAGTGCGTTTTTACAAGGTGGAAGTGAAAAGATGAGAAAGAAAGAGAAGCTCTCGCGTTACAACGAACGCATTGTGAAAGTTCGTTGTAAATGGTTTTTGCTATATCGAACTACTTGCTTTATCAAACTGATCGTAGCGTTTCCTGCTGTTCGTTATAAGCGGGTTTGACTGTACTCTAAGGTCATATAAATTGGCTTGTTCACTCTTGTTTTGGTGGAAAGGGTAAAAGCATAAAGTGCAAGGTTATATATCTTGCTTGGGCCTTTATGTTTGTTATTCTTTCTGTTTAGTAGTACTTCCTCAACAAACTGGAATGCTGAAATTTTCTATTTTTTTAATGTATGATGCAACAATTTCCCACATTAAAATAAAGACACAGAATAGCTTTTTCACAGTAAAACCAATGAAGCTATAAAATCTTTGCTTCAGGAATATCACTACCGTTCTTCAAGCTGTACTTCAAGCTTGCCAGAACTGTAAAGGGAAAATTATAGTTCTGTAACTTTGGTATACTCTGTTCACCCCTAAGCAGAAACTGCAGTGGAAGCTATGCCCTCATTGGACCAGTCATATGCCTCTCTTTCGCCACGTCATCACGCTCCCGGCCATATTCACATGCTGAGAGCCGGGTCAGGTGATGCGAAGGAGGCAACCAATTGGTCCCAAGAGTGCGTAGCTCCTACCGTAGTCTCTGTTCGAGTGCGAACAAAGCACTATAGTGGCCATTGACGTGTATTGTCATGTGTATAACAAAGCATGCTGTACACCTTGCTGCCTGATAAAAGAATATGGATATAGTGAAGTTGTTACAAGGTTGTCATGCTCACAGAGACATTTCAGATACACTCTGTGACACTGTTAGTGTGAACGAGAAATCGCCAGTCTTCTGTTTTTTTCTTTGAATTTGAGGACTCATCAAAACTACTAATGTGACACAAAATTGCTCGTTTGTGCTCGCTCATACCCTTTCAAAGTAAAACGCCAAAAAGTGCCAACGTCGTGTTCGTGCTAACAGTGTTGTACAATGTATATACTAAAGCTGCTTTTTTAAAATGACTTTACTGCGCATAGTTCTACCGCAAGGGTGGCCAGGCTGACCCGACCTAAGAGCCGCAAACGAAACCACGAAACTTCTAAGAGCCGCGGGGGGGGGACAAACTTAAATTTTGTTCAGAGTCTGACTGTACGTAGGGGGGCACAAGGCTGTACGACTGTACGTATGGGGGTACAAGGCTGCCAAACCGTGAGCCGTGCTTTATTTTGAAATATTTTTTTTTCCTGGGGAAACGCGGAAAGGCGCGCAGGGGGGGGGGGGGGGGGGGGGAGGGGTGCTTTGTTGAGGGACCTGCGAGCCGCACTTGGACCAGCAAAGAGCCGCATGCGGCTCGCGAGCCGCGGTTTGGCCACCACTGTTCTACCGTGTAGTTCGCTTCACAAAAAGAAAAAAAAAAAGAAAGTCAGAACGATGTTATAGGAATCCTTCAACCACTGAATGGAACCATGAAACAAATGTTGCATTGTGAATGCAGGTCAAGCACAGTTTTCAAGCTTTACAAAACACGGAGGGCGTAGGCGACATTGTACCTGAAACAGACCAGCCGTTGCCTGTCATGAATGTGAGTGTTTGGAAACTTGCATCCTTCTATACACGACGCCACGGCCCTCAGCCAAACTACTGAATTGTCTGGAAACTACGGCAGTTTTCACCTTGGTAAACTTTGTCACCGTAAGCAGCACTGATACATGTAAAAGAAAAAAAAGGAAAAAGTGTAAAAGGTTAGAAATTTAAACACGTGGTATGTGTTTCAATTATTCCAAAATGTCATTACCCCTAGGTCTCATGTATGGGTGGCATCTCCAGTTGCCCATCTTTTCGACTGGTCCGTGGGTTTTAGGAAGAAGTAGACATATCCAGCGACTTGGTGCTTGGAGGCTTCTCCGATTCCACGTCCATCCTTTAGGCCCCCTGAGCAACCTGATTGGTTGAGTCCTAACGTCGACAGCGCAGCTCTGGTACTTCAATGTACCCCTAAGAAAAACCTTCGCATAGTGTGGCGGAAAGATTCCAGACCAGGTAATCTAAGGACTGTGACGATGTAGAGAAAGCCACTCATCAAGCCGGCAGCCGGTAGCAACGGAGCAAGTTTGCTTCAGTTTGTTACTGGCTGCCGGCTTGATGAGTGGCTTCCTATACAATTTAGCAAGTATGTGGTGCCCTCTGGATTGGTAGTTTTAAAGTTAAGTGCACCACTCTACAGATTCCACCACATAAATGATATTCTGTCGGTAAGTAACTGCGGCTAATGCATCTGTTTTGTCCTTTTTTTCCCCTATTTCTAGATCATGGTGCGGTACGGGCGAGAGGAGCTCTTGTCTCACCCCCTCTGCGTCAAGTACCTCGAAACAAAATGGTATTTAAACTCTAGTTGTGATTCTTATACGTTTAGCCTTCCTTGCATGATAGCATCTATAATGAATCTAGCACTTTTACAAGACATGGTGTGTCAAAGGCACTTAACTTCGATCAAGCTTAGGTACATGAACTGCAATTCAGGGACTAGAATAGAGACTGGAATACAGAAACTGGAATACGCTAACTGAAATACAGGGACCGGAATACAGTGACTGGAATATAGACACTGGTATTTAAGCTAGAATACATAAACTGAAAGACAAACTGGAACACAAGGGCATTTTGAGACAGGATTTGACGAGGGAAATCATATCGCCCATTTTGTGACGTCTCGTAATTGTCGCTGTCCGACACTTGTAATGGATTGATGCATGTAATGAAACTGTTCCTCTCTCGCACTTCCATCCAGGAATTCCTACGGAATGTACTTCCACATGTTGAACCTGGCGGTGTACACGGTGTTTCTGGCGTTCCTCACCACCAACGCGGTGCAACTGATGAGCGACAAGTCAGAACGGGGCAATGCTTCCAAGGTGACCTCGGAGCAGATCGTCACTGCTTTCGTCAAGCCCTCTAATGTGAGCCCTGCGCACTTTGCGTCTGACCCGTCATGAAACTCATTCCTCTGCCATATAGTCTTTCATACTTCTAGCTATGCTGCCATTATACAGTGTTTACTGAAATGTGAAATGAGATTTTTACGCAAATTTTGTTCTCTGAAGTTGACACTCGCATTGTAATCGAATGGTCGTGAAATTGATCTGGTCGGTGTCGCCATCTTCGAGTAACATTAACCTTCTGGGTTCCCGCGGTTTTTCAGCCCGATGTAGGCAACACATGCCTCTTATTACTTGAAACAAGAACCATGGAACTGCGCGAAAAGGCGTCCGTGTTGCGCCTGAAAAATCGCCATAAAAAAAAAACAAAGAAACTTTCAGCCTTTCCATTTTGGTGAAGAAGGAAGACCAGCGAAGCTGTACTATGGTGGGTATGAAGTAATGGTTGACCGCAAGTCGGCAAGCCAGAGTGGAAAGGCTGGAAAGGTTGCCGGTGCCGCCGACATCCGCTGGAAATGGAGAGGTCCTGGGTTCGATACCCGGACCAGGTGGATTTTTTCGGTCGCGCACCAGTCACCTAGCTGTGTTTGGAGATTTGTGTTTGTCCTTTGTCCCTCTTGTTCCCCTTCTCCAGGGATTATTTTTATCATTCTTGTCCTGCTCGCTTTCACCTTTGCATTTAATTGCATTATAATTATAACTTTAAGAAAGTGTTGGTTTAATCCAGACTGGACGAACCCGAATATTTCTGAATATGCAAGTTTAATGAAGCCCGTGCAAAATGATTGTCATAGTGCTCAAAGCTCAATGCCTTGTGTTGTAATGTCACTATATATTTAACCGCCTTTACAGTGGTCAGGGAAGAGACCTTTTGCGAAATCCCCCAAGCACCCCGGCCCGCGCGCGAGGAATTGTGGGAGAGACTGTCCCTGGCCTGGCCGCTCTGCCTTGAGATCGCATTGCCTTGTCGCTCGCCTCCTCTTAATCCTCTGTTTTTCGATTTCATTACCTATTTTTATCTGTTCCATTGTATTTTTATTGCTTCTATGTGTTTCTATTCTCTTCTGTGTGCAATATTTCTTGTATATATAGTATACTATTTGTGTCTTTATTTCGCCTTTTTCGACGGGAGCGCCGACAGACAACACGCCATTTCACACGTCATTCCCTGGGTGAGTACTACCGTTGCTACTGATTCCTGTCGCGCTGTTAGCTGTTAATTTTGGTTCATTTGACCCGTGTGCAGTCGAGAGGAGCCGTTTATGAACACCCGCACACATGTCATAGGGTATAGGCAGACCTCTGAATCAACAATCGCGACGCGAGAGCCCAGTGCGCTGTGATTTGGCCGCCCGCACTCGCTCCGTTGACTCGCACTGCAGCGTGTGCCATCGAGTGCCGCTTACTTGACCAAAATACAGCACGTCGCTGTCCTTCCAAATGATTTGTCCGAATGTTTGAGAAGCTGAGGCGTATGCAACGCTGCGGCGCCTGACAACTGTTCGCTGTGATGCGATCCCTTCGCAAACGTCGACGGCTCAATGTTGCAGCTTGAATGCGCCTATGGCATGCCTTCAAAATCTATCTGCTAAGCGGTTGTCAGTTGCCAACGCCTTTTTTCAAGTGCAGAGATGTGTTGTCGCGAATCATTTGTCCGAATGCCTGCGAAGCCGTAACACCATTTGTTATATCCAACATGCGGTGCCTGACAAACTGCGCGCAGCGGCGTGAGCCTTTTGCAAGTGCCGGTGGCCCAACGTCGCGGCTTGTATGCGCTTATGGTATGCCTTCTTATTTATCTGGTAAGCGGTTGTCACTTGCAATCACCGTTTTTCAAGTGCAGAAATGTGCTGTCACCCAGGCTGTCATCTTGAAACTCATAGTTCCTTCGATAATTTTATTTCTCGAGTCAAGATCTCGGCATATGCTCGAGTCATGATGTCAGCAACTGACAACCGCCGAGGAGACTGGTCATGAATGCATGCCAAAGGCGCATACAAGCCGCGACGTTGAACCACCGGCGCTTGCTAAGGGCTCGCGCTGCTGCGTGCAGTTGTCAGGCGCCGCAGCGTTGGATATGCCGAATGGTGTTACGGTTTCGCAGGCATCCCGACAAATGATTTACAACGGCAAAGCGGCATGCTGTATTTTAATCAAATTAAGCGGCACTCGAAGGCATACGCTACAGTGCGAGTCAACGGAGCAAGCGCGGGCAACCAAATCACAGCGCACTGGGCTCTCGCGTCGCGATTGTTGATTTAGAGCTCTGCCTATCCCTATGACATGTGCGCGAAGGGTCATGAACGGCTCCTCTCGACTGCACGCGGGTCAAATAAACCAAAATTAACAGCTAACAGCGCGATAGGAATCGGTAGCAACGGTAGTACTCAACCGGGGAACGACACACGAAGCGGCGTGTTGTCCGTCGGCACTCCAGTCGGAATAGGTGAAATGAAGACACAAGTACTATATATATACAAGAAATATTGCACGCAGAAGAGAATAGAAACACTTAGAAGCAATAAAAAATACGCTGGAATAGAAAAAAATAGGTAATGGAATCGAAATACAGAGGATTAAGAGGAGGCAAGCGACAAGGCAATGCGATCTCGAGGCAGAGCGGCCAGGCGAGGGACAATCTCTCCTACAATTCCTCGCGTGCGGGCCGGGGCGCTTAGGGAAATTGCAAATCGCCTATTTCACCTGAAATTGTCAGGGAAAACCTGGAAAAGTCAGGGAATTTCAAAATACTAATTAGCTAGACTCCTTGATCTGGATGCATTGGCTGGAAAAGAATAAACATAGAAAAATCTGTTGGCCGTAATGCTTCAATTATTGTTGTACTTTTAGTAGCCTGTTTGTAATTGCCACAGGGTTCGTTGGAATGCAGACACTAATCGTTGTGAGGCTGTCATTCTCAGCATTTGCAGTATTCTTAAGCCACAAGACAAAGGAGAGTGGATTTGTTTTGTTCTACTTCGTTACATTTTAACACCGAATGTGTTTTATGACTGGCAAGCGACAGAACACGACAGCCGAGCACTGATGTAGCGCTCGTTTCCTCACTGATCGGACACCAGTGCCAGCTGAACCTCTTCCTCGAGTGTCTCTGTGTAACTCCTGGCGTGGGTAAAACATCACGGGTTCGAACCCACAGCGGCGCTCTGCTTCATCAAACTAGCATGCTCAGGCTTCACCAGAGAAAGAACGCGAGAGAGAGCGACAAAAAAAACCCAGAGGGAAAAAAAGCAGACTCTTTTGCCGAGAAAGTTTTGAGTGCTTCGTTTTCTCTTGCCGCGAGCTGGTGCCAGGGTTCTGCTCGGCACTGCCACATTCCAATCATTCTGTTTTCCTCACACTCCGTCTACCGCATCTTGCACTCCTAATGGGCTTCGAGTAAGTAGCACTTACAGTGCAACTGCAGAAGACGGCATTTACAAGTAAGACATCCACGGAGCGCTTGTGCGCTTACCTTGCACGACGCGGGGCCGCTTTGCTCTATCCAGTCTCTGCATCTCTACACGGTTTCTCGACACTAATGGTGTATTTGCACGAGAGATCTTTATCTTTGGCGAGAACCGAGTCTGTCATAATGCTACGGGAAGAAAAAGATGCGAGAAGAAAGAGGCGGTGCAGAAAATTCAAGCAAGCGTCCGCATGATGAAGTCTCATGTAGTTTGTTTGCTGTAGTCTTTCTTTTCGTGAACCTCTTGGCATCCTTCGGGGGCTCATCGAACAACAGGCAGGGGGAAAAAAAAGGAGAAAAAAAGGCAATTCGCATTTGAATGCTGTTGATCGTAATTCTTCCACAAAAAGCAAAGGGACAAAGGAGGGGGCTCGGTCACTCTGACAGATGTTCTGTAGGCCGGTCGCAGATTCTCCTTGGCTCCTTGCAGCTAAAGGGATTAGTGAAAGTATGTGACGCGGACGCGGGGCACGTTGCCCTGAAACTTGATGACCTTTATAATCCTCTCCTCAGGGAGAAACTTCGTTGTGTGAATACACCATAATGCATCGCATTCTGTGTTACCACTGCCTTTGCCACTATCCAGCAAAGGGGCGGCTTTTAAATTTTACCTTTGTGCTTTGTTGGTATACCTTCTTTGCATGGTTTCATAGCCGGTTTGATGCGTTAAAGTTACAATTCCCCTCTTGGTTGACTGCAAAAATTCCTGTGTGGTTTATTTTTGGCAGTGTGTGTAGCTATTGACACTCTTCATTTCTTCTCCAGGCCACCATAATATCTCTCACCTCGGTGATTGTCCTGGCATTTGTGGGCTTCAATATCGTCAAGGAGTTCTACCAGATGTATCAGCAGGTAGGCTTACTATTCATATATTGTGGCTTCAGCATATATATTGAACTTCTAGTACTAGTACATACTAGTGCTGATGGCCTCAAATATTAAATAATTCTAGGAGAACTTTGAAAGTTACCAGGAATAAAAAAATATTTGCTTCAACATCTAAATGTGGAAAATACTTTCTATTTGAGCTCGTAGTTGCTTGTAGTTGTATGAGTAAATAGGTTAATTTTATTTGCGCTTTAGTAATGGTATGTCGGGGGAAAATAATCTGGCACAGACTCACCTGGGGGGGGCTTGTCCCTTTGTGCTCTATGGTGCTATGAGAAGGCCACGTTGCCATTATGGACATCGCTTCACTGCAACACACTGTCATATTAGGGCACAGATGTCCTGAATGGAAATATAATGCAATCTTTGGTTGCTTACCTATTTTTCTAAATATTCTAAATAAATCTAAATTATACTTTTAATTATTTAAAAATATAGTATTGTGATTCAAACTTTGAATAGATCACATTAATTTTCAAATTGACATTAAAAGACATAAAATATCCTTTGACGCTCATACTTGTCACCTCAAAAGGAAAGCAAGTTTTGTGCACAGTTCGTACGCTGCACATTGTCGTTCTTACAAGACATGGTTGTTGTAGAAAAAAAAGTGTTTTTGCTTTTTGCATAATAAACGTTTGCGTTTTGATTAAGTAACAAATATAACCAATCTTCGATTAACATACTACTGTAGTATCGATATTCACCACATAAAAGGCGAAATTACTAACTCCCGTCAAAGAGTAACCTGTTCTTACCATGGTTATGAGGGGATAGTTAGCGTAGATGCTTCCACACAAGAACTGCATGCTCCTTCCATGCATAGCTGGTACGTGCTTGCATCACCTCCTCTGTATTGGGCCACAGTGCCTGCTCTCTATGTGCGCAGTTGGTTTACACTGTCACCTGGCCTGTTGAAGCACGTTGCGCCAGTCCCTTTCTCTCGCTCAAGTGCCTTCCTTCTGCCCCCATTTCCATCACCGAGCGGGCGTGCTATAGGGCCGTCTGCAGATATATGCACACGACTTCACAGTTTGGTGGCCCTATAGATGTTTACGTATAGATGCACATTTCGTATTTGCAGTGCACCAAGGTCGTACCCTTCAGGCATCACTGAGCAAATGCTTGAGGGAAACGTTTCGTGGTTCTTTGACCCAGTTGTCATGCAGAATGTGTTTTATGGGTCGTTTTCTAAGAAAAGATTGTGAGAAACGGGTGTCATGAATGAGCCAACAAAGAAAACAAGAAATTGACGTCACGTGATTTGACGTTATGAGACCTATACACCAATTCAATTTCCCCACTAAATTTAGTGAGAAAATTGCATCGGCACGACCTATATACTAATTCGGTTGCCGCCGCTAAATATGGCTGAGAAATCGACATCACACAATCTATGTACCATCACCTTCTCGTCTAAATAAGCTAAAAAACATTTAATAAACAAAAACAAACATAAGTGTGTAGTTTTTGTGTGGGACAGATTCTGTGCCCCTTGGTCTTTGTCAGGACGATCAAGCTCGTGCAAATTTTTTTTCCTGCGTTGCACTTGCAGAAGGCCAAGTACTTCCTGGACATCATGAACCTGCTCGAGTGGACCCTGTACATCTCGAGCGGCCTCATGGCCGCGGGTCACCTGTCGACCACCGTCGTGGACCGAAGCAATCAGTACATCATGGCAGCGCTGGCCGTCTTCCTTGCCTGGTTCAACTACCTGCTCTACCTGCAGAGGTAAGCACCGTTCGTCCGATATCGACATGAAATTCTACATTCCGTCTCGCCTTACTGTGATGCCTGGAGTGCGTCTCCAACTGGTGTATATAACCACGTCCTCAAACGTGGTCCTTTGATCTCCACCTAACGACTTCGTAGAAGTATCATGCTCTTACCCGTCGTGACCCTGCCGGTGGCGGACCGAAGGGGGTGGATGGGGCGGACGCCTGTGCTGTTGTGGCTTACTCTCGGCTCGACGGTCCACGGAAGCTTCTGCAGTGACGATTTGGGACGCGTCAATGATGGCACCGGTGCTTGCTCGTTGTTTTTGCCAGAACATCTACGACCAACTACCAGGGTCGCGACATCCGGCAGTATGACGCACCGTCTCCTGTGACGTCACTTGTTGTCACCTTTGAACCACTTTCTTTGCATGGGCAGTATGTGCGGAGCGCAAGTTTGTCTGCTTCTTTTTCAGGGGTCACGGGGACATGGGGACGGTGAGCTCTGATTGGCTCTGATTGAAGGATAGTGGATAGACCTCAAGGCAAGCTGCCTTGAGGTCTACTGACTGTCCTTCAGTCAGAGGGCAAGTAGGACTCGCAATGAGTGTGGGACCTAACTGCATGTCGGAGGGCTTTTTAACTGAGAGTTGCCTTAAAGACAGACGACCAGGTCACGTTTTCCACTTTTTTCTTCCTTCCTCCTCTCCTCCCTTCTACCCTGTCCACCTGTGCCTGTTTTCTCCTCCCCGACGGTGAGGAAAATCTTCTGCCTTGCAAAATCTCAAGTCTGGTCATCGGCCTTTAAGGACAAAGAGATTGGCATTCTACTAGTGCATTAATTTTTTGCCAGGTTTAATTGTTGCATTCTGTATACAAGCACTATACCCTCCCCTTTATTGGTAATCCTCCTCTTGCACTGTGGATCTGAATCTATTGTGACTGTATTGAGATTATACTAGCATTGTAAAAAAACAGCCGAAGCATGCTTTTTATTGGAACGAGAAAAGCAGCGCAAAAAAACAACGGATCAGTAGATGATATAGACCAGTGGTCTCAAACTCATCTGAGTGCGGAGGCCAGATAGCCCAACCGGAAAGTTCGAGGGCCAACAAACAGGGCGGTTGGGGGGACGGATAGATTTTAAGGGACATCATGCTCTTTTTTTTTTCTTTCTTGTAACCTCGCTGTTAAGTCAGTGACATCTTCAGCTTTGATTTATTTATAGGACTACTTTGGGCGTGTAACAATAATTACAATGGCACCGCTCCTACGAGAGCAAGCACACTGTCGTTTCTGTTAACCAATTCACTCTGGAATTATTCAAGCTCAAGATTTGTAAAAAAAAAAAAAGGAAATTTCTTCATATGACAGTGCTTTGTTTCTTTGGGATTCTTGATAGCAGCAGTCTAAAAAACGAATATTTGCAACTAAATGGCGATTTTTCCTGAACGCGAAAATCTTAAGCTCTTAGCTTTATCTTTGGCAGTTCCTCTGCTGAGCGAGAGTTTGTGCAGCCGAAGCGTGTCTTTGAGCGAAGTGCTCGCGCTTGCAGCCTAAAATCGAAATTCTGGTACAGGTGACTAACATGACAAAAAGCGGGGAAAGAAAAATTGAAAGGAGACAAGAATCAAATGAAAACAAAATAGTAACTATGTAAATACGTTATAAGAGCAGAGCTATGAATTCAGCGGAAATAAATCAGCAATGTGAGATCATTATAGCGCACATGGACATGGGATTGAGGGCTCGCAGCCCGTTGCCTGCGGGCCGCGTCCCAGCGAGTCGCGGGCCGCATGCGGCCCGTGGGCCGCGTGTTCGAGACCCCTGATATAGACAGACGGTGTCTTGTCTGTCTGTATGTTCTGATTCATTTTTTTTTTTTCACTGTTTTTGTTTTGACTTATCACCAACTCGGCCAGATTTCTATGCTTCTACATGCTTTTTATGTATTGGTAATTTACACGTAGGACGATTGGTACCTCAGTATACATACCACCAGTGCATAGGAGTTGTGGTATCTGCACCTTAGAGCGATGCTGGTGACTTTTTAAGCCTCGTGATACAGTAGCACAGGCACCACATCTGTACTTAGACGGTGGCACACTTTAGCTTCTTACTGCAGCCCTCGCCCTCACGCGAGGTGTTTCGTGACGATTTTGTCTTGCAGCTCAACTGACAAGAGCTTCACTCTACGAGCCTTCTCCTAATTTTGTTATTTTTCTGTTTACTCTTTTTTAAATCAACAGCGGTTGCTATAAATCTAGAGTAGTCGAACATTGTCCACATTTTGCTCATCGGCAGAATGTCGGGGTGACACTTTTAGCAACCTGGCTATAGCATCGAAAAAGCACACTTGACCGCACATTATGGTCACTGACAGAATGAGAACTTTGCGGCGCGTTTTCCGAACACCCGGTGTTAGGCACATGCTCCATGCTTCCCTCCGTGCCTTGGCCTCTTGCGTGCGCTCGAGGTTTAGACGCCGAAGCATCGTCGAAGGTAGGCAGCTCGCACTGGATCTGGGACAACTGAGGCTCCCCCCTGGCATTCTCGCCCCGTCAGTGACCACAGTGGATTTTAGCAACGATAGAGCCAGGGCATGGCACCTTTCAGTTTTGTAGCTGAAGCTTGGTGACTAATTTTTCGTTTCCCCGTTTCCTTCCAGGTTTAATCGGATAGGCCTGTACGTTGTCATGTTCCTGGAAATTTTGTCGACGCTGCTAAAGGTCATGTTTGTGTTCTCCGTGCTAATAATTGCCTTTGGCCTGAGCTTCCATATTCTCCTGGCAAAGATAGATGTGAGTTTGAGGCGTCTCTCTCTTTCGTCCCCGTTCCTTGTTTTCTGCATGTTTTGTGCAACTTACTTTCACTTGATTCAGGTGTTGAGTCGCTGTTTATCCTGAGTTCTCTGTCTTCCTTTATAGATCAACGTGAAGACTGCAGTTGTCGACCCTTACACCGGAAACGTCACCATGCGATCTATGGTATGAACAGATTTTGTAAAAAGGCTTTTAAAGGCACTGCGGTTGCTGATGACTTATGGCACGCAGGCCATCTCATTATCGCTTCACGCCCAATGAGATTAAGGTGTTAGGTGTTGAGAACACCAAAGAATGAATCATAGAGCAAAAAGCCGAACCATAATTAGTCACGTCCTGCTTTCTTAAGTCATCGGTAGCTATACACGTTTGCAAGTATGGCCTCAGGGCGCCGCCATTCTGCTCAGTTGTGGTATGCTTGGGCTCGTATTACAGTGTAGACCGCATATAACGTATGTCGCGGGAGTCGTGAAAATCCGCATTATAAGCGGTACCGCATTATAACTAAAACATCAATTTTTCAGGCCAAAATACATGCCATGAGACAACTTAACCATTGTAAAAGAATTTATTTTATGTTAGATGAAAAATAAAGCTTAGTTTGAGGAAAGTCTTTATTTCACCAGACTAGTACACTTCTCTCTCAAGTGTGTCACACGTTTTGAGAGAAATGAGCGACTTTTGCCTAGCGCAGCCTTTTAACGGCGTCGCGGGTTGCGGACGGACGTTGCGAGTGTTCAGGATTGCTAACCCTAATCACTTTTCTCCGGTGATGAAAACGCGTGAAAATTCACATCCTTTATACGGTACGCGCCAGTAATACCTTCAACTTGAGCACAGGCATGAAATGCTCCAAATAAGAAATCGGGGCGATGTTCGAAAACACAAATGCACCACTGTAGTCGAGGTAAACAAAAACGACAACACAGGCGTTTCTGCCGTCTTGAGAGTGCCACCACGAGATCGCCGCACGAGTAGGTGGATCTTCCCTTCTAGTACGTGCTGGGCTATCATAGCGACACACAACAAAAATTCAGAGTCAAGGATAGTGCTTTTACGCGGAACGAACACCCTCTACGTCGACGATCACAACCGACGCCATGTTTGCGGATAGAAGCCGGCCCGCGACCAGCATGCAACGCGCGCGAACACTTCTCCTCGATCTGCGATTGGTCTGTTGTTGCGGTTGTTTCCAACACGACCAACTGTGGTCGTGGTTTCCGGCGCATTGGAGGGACGTATGCACGTGAATGACACGTGCGTGCGTCCCTCCGTCGCGATGGCAACTGAAGCCTCTCTCTTCGCTTCTCCCCGGTTTTTCGAGCAACCTCCTTGTCCCGCAAGTGCCGCTTGCAGCCATCGCCGTGGCGCCGTCAGGCGCCGTTAACTAGTGTCGCACAGGGAAGCGTGCTCGCTGCGCCGGTCGGCGGGCTGTTCCAGAAACCGCACTATAACTGGTATTTCCCTTCGCGCGCCTGCATTTTAAGCGGTATGTAATTAGATGGAGTTCTATGGGAGGCGAACCGGTGGTTTAAAAAAGCCGCGTTATACTCGGTCCTGCACTATAACCGGTTACGTTGTAAGTGGTCTATACTGTAATCTGATCACGACGTCTTGCTAAGGCGGCATAATCGGATTATGGCCGCGCTTGAGCGCACCCCAACTGAGCAAGATGACGGCACCCTGAAGCCATACTTGCAAACGTGTATAGAAAACAATTTTACAATGTCTGCTCAATGGGGATCGGACTAAACCCTTCAATGTGCAGGCTGGGGATGAGAATTCATTTTTAAAGCGGTAGCTTTATAGAATCCAACCAGCCTCAGGAGCTGCAAAAGCATGAAATGTGTAGGTCAGTCATTCCGTGACTGCTAAATAATCTTGAAAAAAACAGCAACCGGTGCCAAAAGTCTAATTCCGGTCAACAGCGTGGAAGCCGAGTCTGCTGCTGACAGAGCTACGGACCCAGCACGCAGGAATGGGAGGAGCAGAAGCAGGTGGTGTGAGAGAGTGCGAAGCAGAGATGGGTGGAAAGGGCAAGAAAGAGAGGAGCAGTAACAGGTGGTGTATAAAGAGTGCGTGGAACGAGGAGGGCTGGAAAGGGTAGTGACTTTAGTGACCCAGAAAATTCAACGCAAAGGCTTTGTATCTGGGTAGTGCTGAAGGGAAGCGTGCGCAGCGTCACAAATAGGGTGTGACAATTTGTTCCCATACCAAACCCTTCCTTAGGCACCACCTTAATTAAAAGTACTACCCAACCCAGGTACTGAAAGACAGGGTTATTATGCCCTAGGCACCACCCGAATTAAGAGCACCACCCATCCTATAAAGCTACTGCATTTAAACATGTTTGCCAGAATGACCAAATATGCAGCACATTTTTGTCCATAATGCATGCTAGATTTTGCTGGGCATAGATTGATGTTACTGGATTTACTTGTCTCTTTTTCAACTAAGTCTTTGCTTTTCTGAAATCAGTTCATATATATAATTACCGTAAAATCCCATAATGGCGCCCTCCCCCAGGAGATTGCCGTCTTGTTTTTCTGGCTAAATATTTATAACATAAAAATTCTGAACCACGCCCGATTCCCGTTAGGCATCATGCAATGTCCGGCAGGAATCACTTCAACAGCGCGATCTGCAGTACCGGTAAGTGTGACAAGAGAGTTCGTAACGGGTTCAGGCAGTTTGGTTCGCGATCTGCGCGCGCGATATTGATTCTTGTGACACGCAAGTTGATCTTGCGTGTTCATTGCATTGTGAAGTGCAAGTCTGCTGCGTCCGTGATTTGAATTATTTGTTCCCGTGACATGTGAGTTTGTAGCGGGTTCCTGCATTTTTTGTTTGCGACCTACGCCTGCAGTATCAGTCCCCGTGACGCACGAGTTGTCCCCCCATGTTCATTGCACCGTGAAATGCAAATCTGCTGCATTTGCGATCTGCGGTATCGGTTCCCGCGACATACAAGCCTACGGCAACTTCTTGCATATCCTCCCCATCGTGTAAAAGGAATCTGCAGCGTCAACGATCTGCAGTATCTTTTACCATGACACAGGAGTTCATAGCAAATTCCCGCATGCTTATCACATTGCGAAACGCAAATTTGCCGTGTCTGCAGTCGGCGATATCGGTTCCCGTTTCCCGCGGTTTGTGTGGGATGGCCCGGGGTTTCATCACTTTATATAAAGTTTTGCTGTTGCGTCCCTAAAGATCGCCCATTCCATGTTTTTTTTACCATTTATCTCTTCATTTTGGGTGCGGCGTCCTTACGGGACAATTTTACGGTGCATCCTTATGGTTAGCCTGGAAGAGATTTTTGTTCAGAAACCAACAAAAGTAGGATTGTATTTTTTCCTATTGATTGTCCATTTAGCATACTTATTAGCATGAACCTGCTCTTCCCTCCTGTTAGTGTCTGATGGAAATGGTGTTGTCTAGTTTTTTTAATGCGAAAGTATTAACTGGGTCCCATGGAGCGAGTTGACGTCCTCAGTTTGAAGCGTGAAAACGGGACCTAGTTTCCCCAATCCCAAAGGAGCGAAGTAAAGCTGATGGATTTCGCCTTCAATTCCATTGTCTGGCGCGCGTCGACGGGGCTGCCATTGGCCTCTGCGCTTGTCGGTTTCCACGACCGCTCATCCCATGGCGCTGCGTGTCCATTAGCGCGCCGTTAACACGGAGCGTCCAAGGTCAGCGTGCTCAGGGGAGCCCGCGCACTGACTGGCGACGAAAAGTATGCAGCAGACGACAAAGGGAGCGGATGAGCGGCTTGCATGCTTTCGCGTTCACAACTCGTAAGAAGCGCTCAGGTGTACCTCGAGCTTTTTGCTGTATGCAACCATTTTATAGTTTCTTGAAGATCAGATTGTTTGTATGCTCACTGCCCCAAAAGGGTGATTTCAACTGTGGTAAATTAACACTTTCGTAACCTTGTGCCCTCTTCCGTGACCGTGTTTCTCCTCAAGGGAGCAAGTCGGCAAACTCTCTTCAATCACCAACTTCCTTCCCCATGTCACGGCCGTTCCTTCTCCCTTGGCAGGACATGACCGACGAGGGTTCCCTGAGCCTTTTGTCTTTCACGCATTTCTGATGCCGCACCAACACGAACCGGCAGATTACCTCTTCCGCCGCGTCGACTCCCTTCTGCCATTGACTCTGTTGTTCCCGCTCCTCCTTCTTTGGACAGAACATGAGCGACAAGGGTTTTCACAACCCGGTGATCTCGCTGGTGCGCGTGGGCACCATGATGCTGGGGGAGCTGGACTTCTTGGGCACCTACCTTCGGCCCATGCGGGTCCTCGACTCCTCGGCCTGGTACCAGATCGTGGCCGCCACCTGGTTCCTCGTTGTCTTCATCGTCCTCATGCCCATCCTGCTCATGAACCTGCTCGTAAGTGACGCATCCCAGCACGGCGCTTTTAACGCGTCTCCCACTGGATTCTTTATCGCATACTCAAAAGTCGTGGAGGTAAGAAACTTCCGGAGGCGACACGATTGCACCAGAGGTGAAGCCAGAAGTGTGGAGGGACACGCCCCCAATGATGACCAAAACCAAGAGATGCTATTGAACGAAAAGGAGAACTTACTCAACAGCTGTTTGGTCGTCCCCAGGGCCCCGAGGGTGCCCAAACATCTTTTGGTTTTGGTCATCGTTGGGGGCGTGTCCGTCCACATTTCTGGCTTCACCTTTGGTGGTGTCATGTCGCCTCCAGAAGCTTCCTACCTCCACGTCAAAAGTGGTCCCTTGATTTCTGCTCTATGACGTCTTGAAAGTGTCGTCTTGTCACCGGCCGTGATCCTTGCGGTGAATGTGGCAGACGTCCGTTGTGCTGCAGGTCGCTCTCCAGCCCGACAGTCTGTGGAAGATTAGGCAGTCGGGAGTTGGGACTCTGTGACGACGGACTGCAAGATTTTAATGAAGGAACTGGATTTTACGAAGTGTCACCAACGTTACCATAGGCCCGCATCAAACACTAGGCATTAAGGGCAGGAGTATTGTCACCAACGTGCACATTGCTCGTAGCTCATACCTTTGCCGCGACTTCTAGCACCAACTGTCAGGATCGCAGTGTTCGACGACTCGACACTCCAACTCCCGCGGCGTCATTCGTCGTTGCTTCGGGGCCATTTGGATGTTTGGGTCGCTAAACACACTGGTAGAAGAGAAGTTTTGGGCACCGTAATAACGACGACACCAGCGTGCGAGGATACGAGGGGTTCCGGTTTAAGAGCCAGATGGGCGAGAGCTTCCTCAGCTGCCGATTGGACGTGGTGTCCCAGCTTTCCGCCATGTATATATGTGTTTGACTGGTATTTTGGTGACGACTTCTCGCCGACGCACGGATGGCGAAAGGAACCTCACTGCCTCTGATGTACGGATCCCGAGTGCCTTGTTCACCAGTTGATGTTGGCTCGTGTACGGCAGCAGAATGACTCGGGGGTTTGCGGAGGAAGCTTAAATTGTCAATCATTTCGAACGTGAAGTAGCAGATCATGATTTCAGCCCGCGTTCAACCTCACTTTGCCGTGACACTCGGTTTATGGCGTAGGATCTCATTATTTTCGGTTCGATAGCAGGTCGCGTACAGTGTTTACACATTTAATTTTCATCTGCAAATGACACTTTATAGCAGACATCCCATTCTTTGCTCACATTGAGAAGTAGATCATCTGCTCGCACGCTCTGTGAGAGGGAAATTTGGTCTCGTTCTCGCTGTAACTAATAGCGACTTGTTTCACTGCGCACACTTGCAGCGTGGAGAAAGTTTGTTTCAGCCGGCACCCGCCGAGTGACTGCACTTTCTGTGTTTGTATCGTCACCGGTACTCTATGTGTGGATGCACTGGCTGTACCGGGAGAATCGAGCTTGTGCCAGAATGCAATCCTGTCACGAATCGCTCAGGCAAAAAGCTAGAGCAGACGACGGGGGCTCGTCTGCTACGAGGTGTCATGTGCACCTAATGGAACCGAACAAAACAAGTGAATGTTCTGCGAGAAATCGCGTCCCGCGGGTAACGAAATTAAACTCAAGCTTGAATTGTGAGAGCATCTGCTATTTCATAAAGGAAGAAATCAATAACCTGTGCTTTGTTTGCAAGTTTTGAATCGTTCTAGTGCCATACAGATGCTGAAATCTACCAGTGGGTAAAGAAAGGTGCAGGAGAAACGCATCAGCAGCTGCAAAATCTCTCACACCAATCTCTCACACCATCCATGTGCTGTTGAAAAGTTTAACATTTGTCGATGAAGCTTGCCAAGCAGATGCCTGTGACACGCAAGTGACGCGTCCATTCAGCATCCAGGAAAGCTTAATATGGTGATCTTACCCGACGCTTCAGTAAAAGCATCATGTTTAACATTTACACGCCAGCTAGCTTGCCCAGCCATATTCTGTTTAAGCAAGCTTTTGTTCTCGCTTAATATGAATCAAGCTTCTCTGCGGACAGTATGAACAGTTTTCTTTATAAGAATTGAAATGAATTGGTTTGTTTCTATTGCAAACAAAGACGGAGAAAAAATACAAAGTGTAAACTCGGCAACACAAAGCAGCAGACTCACTACTAAACTGTTATTGTTGCACACTGGGCTGTTACTTATTGTAAACAAAGGAATGGCTTATACTCCACTTCATGCTTTTAGTTTGTTTCTACATAAAACCTGCCAGAGAGGCTTTCGGTGAGAGTACTTTAAGATATGGTTGCTCGCGCCCTGAAATGAGTATAGTATTGCTGACCTTTCGGCAGTTACCCGAAATGGCCCCCATTCTCTCTTCACTTTGTTGTGCTTTCCTGACTGTGTTACCGACTCAGAGAATGACATAATGTACTTGTTCAATGTGTAGTCATTTGTTGACTGTCATCATCGCTCTCTACTCACACTGCCCTCCCCCCCTTTCTTTGTGCATACTGTCACAGGTGGTGACCAAAGGAACACTAAATAAACAGAAAGAAAGAAACGTTTAATGTGGCGAACTTGTGCCAAAAACTAAAAGGGTACAAAGATAATAACAGAGCGTCGCGGCCGTCGAAGTCGGCGTAGTAGCACAGTCGAACGCTGGGGAGAAACTGACTGCGGCTCGCCACGCGGAGCCCCTTATGTACATGCGTGGTCTTCTGGAATAATCGGCGAAGAAACTTCGACGCGTGGAACATTCGGGCCTGGAACAAGCAACATGATTCTCGAATTCTCCAGAACACTAAATTAGAGGAATAAACAAAAGACATGTCACTCCAGGATTCGAACCCTAGCTTTTCGCGTGGGAGGCAGGCGCGATAACCATTAGGCCACGCGCGCGCTGCCTACTTGGCGAGCGCGCGCGGCAATACTACGTCAACCTTATATTAGCCGCAGAGTGCTAGGCTGATTAGACTTGGCTGCCTTGTGGCGGAGATGGCAGAGATGGTTTGACATGCAAGCAACCTGGTCGAGCACTTTGTGCCGCCAGGGTTCCCACAACTTTCAGCTTTAGACTGTGTCCTAACTGTACCACCTAAGTATTGCAGCTTAACCTGAGAATTATTCCCTCGATAACTTGTACTATAGTAGATGATAAAATATTATTGTAGCAAAAGACAGCTTACTGTGCAGTGTGATCTCACTGGCTCCATTCATTGCAGTATAGGGGGTATTCACTGGCGGCTATAGCTGTGTGCGCGAATGCTGAGCACGTGCTGATGGCGAGCTTCCACAGTTCTTTTGCAACGTGCATTCCGCACCATCAAAAGTGCCGGTCTTAGCAGCCTATCGATGTGAGCTTGTACTAAGCATGCGCTCAAGCAGCACCCACAAATATGGCATCTAGTGAGTACTCCCTATAGTGCTAAAAAAAAAAAAGGCCGATTACAAAAAGTTATTTTGGCTCATCCCATTGAAGTAAAGCTTCCCATTCCTTATCATTTTCAGATTGGCCTGGCGGTTGGGGACATCGAAACAGTGCGCCGCAATGCTCAGCTCAAGAGACTTACAATGCAGGTAGGAGCCTGCATTGTCAGTGTTACTGTGAACCCTGCCATTGCCTTCTCTTTCTTTTTTTTTTTTTTCTTACGCCACTGAATGAGCATGTTTGACACTATAATTATGTATGTGCGTGATTCTTTTACATTTGTCTGACAGGTGGAACTTCACACCGACCTCGAGCGAAAGCTGCCTCGACGAATCTTAACGATAGTCGACAAGACAGAAGTTTATGTCTACCCCAACCAGAAGGGCTCCTCGTCTTACGTGGTAAGTGCTCTGTCGGTTTCTTGTAACATATTGTTTTGCTGAAAGTAGTTGACTTTTCTAATGAATGTTACTACCCAGGTTTAGAAATTATAGATAAGACGCAATGCAAGAATTTGTAGCACTCGAAGGGTTACAAGTTGGCACAGTTCCTAACTCATTACAAGAACTGACAGGCAGTAAGGATTATTGGTGTTTTATTTTCTAGCTTTCGTTTTCAAAGGGGACTTTCTGTATTTGAATATGCTGTTGCAACTTTTTTTTTACTACTGTTGATTTTTTTTTGTACGGCGTCCAGTGATTTTTGAGAGGAATATACCTATTAAGATAATAATACAAACATCTGAACAGATACACTTTCAGAAGTCTGAAATTTGCATTGCAGAATTTGTTATCTAATACGTGTGCATTTCGGCTCGCTTATTATCTGGCTCTCTTATGGGGGACTCAACTTGCGCAGAAAAGCAAGTTAAGCACCACGCAAGATTTGCTCTTCATCATCTATGAGTGTGGTTTTCTTTTATAAGTTTGTTTCTATGTATATATTACAATTTTTGGTTGTAACAAGTAAATTTTGCACAGTGCCTGTTGTGTTGTGCAGAGCACATCGTTTTGTCATAATCGCTGCTGTCGTTTCGTGACCTTTATCTTTCTTGTGCTATCCAAGTGGCAAACACTCCAGCGTTGGTTTGCCAGCCCAAAGGAGAATGGAAAGCGTGGCAGGGCGTTCATCGGCAGCAGTGCCCTTCAGGACAGTGCCATGCAGGACCTGTGCGACGAGCTTACCCGGCAGAAGAGAAGGTGGAGTGATGTCTTCTTTTGTCCCGCTTTTTGTTTTTAAAAGCTCATGTTCCCGAAATTTCTTATTTGCTGTTTTACATGAGAGCCCCACATGTGCACTAGGATTTGTGCAAATAATTTAATTTTCACCGAATTTCGCCCGCAAAACCAGCGGAGCTCGCGGGCTTTGCGGGTGTTGCTTCCACGCAGTGCACAGGTGCTCGGCGAAATGCACACTCACCTGGGCTAACCCGCCGCAATTATGCAAGAGTATGTTTGGCAGCGATGTTTTGACAACCTGCTTTCATCATTCACGCTTGTTTGTTTCTTTGTTAAAATTTGAAATTTGGAAGAAGGAATGTTTGCTTATAGGAAGCAGAATTAAAAATCGCCTCGATTAGGATAGCTGCGAAAAATTTGTTGTTTACATGCCACAGTTCATAAACATAGTTTCTATATTAAAATCAACTGGGCTTAGAAGGGGCAAGTTAAATCTCGGGAACGGCCCTCATGAGTTCAGCCTGGTTTTCGTGTAAGCATGGTGCAGTAGCGAAAAGCTCAGGGAAACTGATATTTGGTTAAAAAATATTTGGCCAAAACCACTTTTATTTTTGAATTCGCTTCAAACGCAGAATCCACTTTTCGGGCATGCCTAGCGTTTACCTAAATGAGTAAATATTCAATTTAACAAATAGTGCTGGAGATTGTGAAAGATCCTCCTCAGGTACTCTTTCATAAATTCAGTGATGGAAGGGCTGCACCATTTGCACTTAATTGTGCCATGAAAAGAAGTCTGCTACATCTTGTGTCACAATACCATTTTTGCTACGACTTGTGCCACACTTGCGCCTAAACAAGCAAAGCAGAAAAAAAAAAAAGATTGGTTGGTTTCAATGTTTTTTTAGAGAAGTGGGAGAAAAGGAAAAGGGTACAAATATATATCTAAGAATAACAGAGAAGATACAGGTGAGCTGGTAAACTTTCAACGTCTTGAACACCTGAGACTTGGAACAAAAAGTGGACAACACACACCACATTTTTGTTCCTAGTCTCAGGTGTTCGAGATCTTGTATATGTATTTCTAAGCATCTCTGCTCACTGTGTATTTTGTTCCATCTTAGGTCAGAACACAGTTTGAAAGCCGAGGCGCTTGCAACTACGAACACACATGCTAAAAGTGCAAGTCACAGGGCATTCTCTACACTTGATTAGTTTAGCTGATGAAAGAACACAAACAGACAAATGCCATGATGTCGCACTCTGATGCTGTTTGATTGCTACTAAAGATTGAGATTGGGAGAAAAAATGTAATGAAATAACTGCTATTTCAGAACGTTAACATACTACATGCTTGCTATATTCAGTAAGTAAAAAAAGTCTACGCATGAGTCTTCGCGAGAGAAAAAGTGTTTGTGGGCAAGAACAGTTCTCTAAATTTTACTGTGGGTAAAGATTTTAAAGTACCTACGGCTATTTTTGTAAAATATACTTTTAACGAGTAGGCATAGTTTTGGTTTGCTTTAACTTTCTTTGTGCCAATTTCAAAACTATACACTCCTGCGAAAATGGGACACGATTCTATACTATTGGGACAAAAAGACGGGACGGCAGAAGCATACCTCAAAAACGGGATTGTCCCGGCCGAAATGGGACGTCTGGTCACCCTAGTCACGTGGCATCACGTGATATCACAGTCTTGCCTGATGATGGAGTGTAACGTGAGCTCACAGTCTCATGATGCCAGGGTGTCACGCGACGGGTAGATGGGTAGAGGACGGTATTGCATTTTCGGAGGTGGCCGGTGTTGGTAGTGAGGTGGTGGTTCAAGAAGTGCTGTCGGGTACCGGCGCATGGCTGCGTGGATTGCCTTGAATGCCGGTGGTGGCGATGTCTTGCCTTGTCAATGTCGAGAAAGAGGTGGCAGCCGCTGCTGCAGCCATCGTCGTGGTCGGGGAGTAGAAGTCGGGCTCATCCGCGAAGGCGACCCAGTAGCGGCGGGGGCCCGCGTCCTCGCGGGCCCCGCCGAGGGCGAGGAAGGACACCGGCGACTGTTTGACTTCTTTATTCCAAATCTCAGGGTCAACTGTTCTAAAGCGATACTAGCACGAGCTGAGCACGCGCCAATGCGAGTGGGGCACGTGCTTCTCTCGTTCAAAATACGTACCCGTACGAACGCTAAACTCAGAATACTACAGACGGGTAGATGCCATGCATACAAGGTGTGTCGGGATGGCGTCACAGTGTCACGTGAAACAGTCAGACCCGACTATATAGAACCCTTTTACATTGAATTATCCCTTATATCGAACAATTTTTGTGCACAGTAATGTTACAGTGTTAATATATAGCGAAAACTATGGTTACATCGAAGAAAATAGCCGCTGCCGGTATATCAAACTGCCAGGACCGCCGTTTTGCTCTGCAAGCTGGCTTTCCCTCAATGCAGCCACCTGTTTTAGCTGAAAGCCAACTTGCAGAGTAAAGCGGCGCTCTGCAGGAGAAAGTGCTCCTGCTAGGACGTGCTCCATGCTCTCGGCATAGTTCAGCGCTAATGCGCGAATATATAGTCGGTTACAAGTCAAGAGGGTAGGAGAAGCTCCTCCCACAAGTGTGATGCGCCCGTTTCAAATCTCTCCGCAGTCGAAAGAAGAGTTCACTGGAAACGCTCCTTGTTCCACTTCAATGGATTCCCACTTGTCTCCGATCCCACTTTTTAAGAAAGCCACCTTTGTATTCATCGGAGAGGGAACCGAGCCCCTGAAAGCAGTCTTTGTATCCATCGGGGGGGAAGCTAATCCCCGAAAGTCGTATTTGTTTCCATCGGTGGGGGAGAACTCTAATCTCCCTCTCGTGGCTTCCTCAATGCTAAGTCAAAGCCGAAAGATAAAGCAAATATGTACAAAAAGGCAAGACCCTTTGTGCGTTGGCCGCGACGTCACGGAAACGGTGGGACGCTATTGGATGCGGAGGTGGCGGAGGGATATCTGATTCCCTTTGAGGGGCATTTGCTGCTACCTTCTTAACCTGTAACTGACTATAGAAGGCAGCGGCCTCAGCATTTTGGAGTTAGTCGATAGCGTAGAAAAGTATCGTTATCGCGGATGCAACAAAGAAAAAGCAGCAGGAGATGCAAGACTATTTCATTGTGTAATATGTCAGCAGAAAGTGGATTTTTGAAAGTCAAATTCATTAAAACTGTTATATCGAATTACGCAATACATTGAATTCCCGTTTTTTTGCGAGTTCGATCTATATGCAGGTTTGACTGTACCAAGACGTCATCGAGGCGCTGTCTGCAGACGCAAAAACCCTGAAGCCGCAGTCACACTGCCCACACATCTTAAAAAAGCTTGCTGTAGACATGAAAACGAAATTATACCCCAAGCATGTTCGGAGCATGTTTGTTTCATGCGCATGTATGCTTCCAGTATGTCAAAAGACAGTACAAAGAAGAAACACCCCTCAGGCAGTGTTTGCAAACTGTTTTTTGTATGACGTATATTAAGAGTGTGACCATGACCTAAGAGCTGGCCATAGAAATGCTACGTATTTCTAAAGTCACTTTCGCATACTCTTTAAATCCAATGCCAGGCTTACTCGCCTTTTCTTTTCCCTCGCTCCCCGTTTCCCCTTCGCCCAGGATGAAGGACATTTCCCGTGCGATGGAGCAGCAGCTCTCCCTGCTGCGTCTGATCGTCACGAAGATGGACATTCGGGCAGAAACGGACGACCGGGACGAGGGATACTTCGAGAGTGTCCAGGACAGGCCGCTGAGTGCCACGGGCCCCGGGACGCTCTGATCCGCTCGCGTGCAGTCAATGTTTCGCACCGACCCACGGGCCCCCGAGACGCCATGATTGGCTCTCGTGCGGCCGGTAACGTTCTCGACTTACCCACATACCCTAGGTCGCTCATCACGTTTTCATCACTTTTTCATCAAAGTACACATCCCATCAAGCGCCCCCGGCCATAGGTGCCGACATGTGGGGGGCTTTTCGGAGTCGTGAAGTTATTTTCGTAGCTCTATCGTTGGTGACGGGTTAAGAGTTTGGTGGAAGCTCTTCCCACCTCTTTCCACTTAAGCAGAGCGAACGCTGGAGAGGAGGGGACCTCCTCTCCAGCTTGCTCTCAGCTAAAGTGGAAAGAGGTGGAAGGGGTTTCCACAGAACACTTAACCTGTCACCAACTATAGTCATCTCAGGCCTTGGGGAAGCAATCGTCTTTGTGTAGGGAGGGTGGGTGGGTAGAGGGTGGGAGAAGAACTTTCTTAGATTTGCCCTTTATGGACTTGGAAACTTTCTTACGCGCACACCGAATGTGTGCCTCATCAATGATCTTTAATGTTTTTATGTTAACAGTTTGGATATAGGATGACGAGCTTTAAAGAAACGACAGTAGCTTTGGATGGTGTAAGTCCAAATCAGTCTTGCCCCTCGTAGAGCCACTGACATAGGCTATGTGTAGCGTCGGCGCCCCGTTCTCCAAGTTTTTGATGGTCGCTGCGCCAACATTTCGGTACTTAGCACAGAGCAGGCACAGTCGGTGTTTCTTACGACTCAGAAATTTAACTTTTCAAACTTTAGATATTGTGTTGGGGAGCTCATGCGATAGCATTTTGCTTTGTCACGATCTGTTTCATCGTTTCTGGAGTACGGAAGAGCGCTTCCTGGGATGTCAGACAAGGCTTTGAATAACTGGCAGCACGACTGCTGGAGTGTCGTTACTGAAGCATAGCATATTTAGGGGGTCTAGCATGCGGAGCGCAAGTTCGTCTGCTTCTTTCGCAGGGGTTGTGGTGACGTCAGAACACAGAACTCTGATTGGCTCTGATTGAAGGATAGTGGGTAGACCTCAAAGCAAGCTGCCTTGAGGTCTACCCACTATACTTCAATCAGAGCCAATCGGAACTCTGCGTTCTGACGTCACCACAACCCCTGCAGAAGAAGCGGACAAACTTGCGCTCTGTATAGCTTCGGGGAAGCAGTCATCTTTGTGGAGGGGAGAGGGAGGAACTTCTTTCCCAGATTTGCCTTTCATGAACTTCGAAACTTTGTCTCACACACACCGAACATGTGCGCCTTTATTAACCCGAACAATTTTTATGCGTATAGTTTGGGTATAGGATGACGTGCCCTAATGAGACACAAATGCGTCGACCGTAGCCTAGGACGTCAAGTCCACATCTTTCTCACCCCCTGTGTCCGGGTTTTCTAGCCTCGGTGATGCGACGTTTGCATCGCTGTCTGAATTCTTTCGTGACTGGTGTCGACGGCGTTTGTACGGCGGTTCTTGCGACTGTCCCGGAAGTCAGCGTCCTCATAGCAACAGCTTCTCTCGATGCCAAAAAGGTGGGGTGAAGACCTGTCGATGCCAGCAATGTTGCCGGATGTCCAGAAACCTCGGATTAAACTCCTCGAGAGAGAGAGAGTCTCCGTCGAGGAATGGCGTTGCTCTGGAAACGCATCTTCGAGCGGGGTGCTTATTGTTCCATTCCTTTACGCATTCAAAGACGTCCTGAAGTGTCAACAAGTATTGTCACACGAGCCGGTGTGTTGTGCCATGGTACATCGCAATCCCGGCGGTCGGTCGTAGAGATGCAGGCGAGAATAGGAGCAGACATCGTGGCATCCTGTCTCGCGTCTGCTTCGACCGTCTGGCTGTAGAGTGGCTTACAGCCGTGGAGGTAAGAAGCTTCTGAAAGCGGTATGACGCCACCAGAGGTGAAGCCAGAAATGTGAAGGCCCCAGCAATGAACAAGACCGCAGCTGTTTCGAGGGTGACCAAAAATGACTGTTCTTTTGATTATCATTGGGGGCGTGTTCCTCCACACTTCTGGCTTCCCCTCTGGTGGCGTCATGTCGCCTCCAGAGGCTTCCTACCTCTATGCTTACAGTGGAATGGGCGTCGATCACGTCCAGATTTGCCGCTGCGCCACCGGCAGGATTGCAGCGGGCGACAGCGTGACAGTTTTACGACATCATCGGGCGGAAATCGAGGGACCACAAATGGGGACGCAGTAAGCGCACCGGCCGCAGACATCCTCCAGTCATCGTAGTGATGCCAACGGTCCCTGTGTAATGGCGTCCACACCAATAATACGTCGTAGAAGAGACGGTCTAAAGACACTCTCCCAGGTGTGTTTCTTCCTTCTGTGATGGTCCCGGCACATTGGTCACACAAAAAATCTCTGCAGACACATTCGATGCGTACGTATGTATGAAGCAAACACTCTTGGAGTGCGCTGGCAATCTGTTGTGTGTCGAGCATGGCTGCGTCGAGGCATGGCCTCCGAGGTCGCTGGTGCCGAGGGTAGAGATCTAACGAAGAACGGCAGGTTCAAATTCTAAACGAAATTTCCGCTCGCTTTGCATTTTGCGGCAGGTGGAGATTATTTGCTGAGAAAGCTGATCGAAATAGGTACAATGCCCGAAGTGCATGGCACCTGGCATGTCGAATTCGGTCGGCGGCGACGAAAATTGATGCGTCATCAAAGTTTTGCTGTGGAATGCCTCCTGTGTCTTGCTGGATTAGTGCGTTGAAAGTGTTTATTTTTATTTGTGGGTATGAAGAGTTAGGAGTATCGCGAGATCAAACTCTGCCAAGTGCTGAATTTTAGACCGAATTTGGTATAAAGAGTAGTCCTGTAGAAACACCTTTCAAATTTCAGCAGAAGTAGACTCCAAAAACATGGAATTATATTTATAAGTAAATTGGCAACTACCGGCAATGTACACTGCACAACACTTTTAGCACAAATGTGGCGTCGGCTCTTTTTCATACTTTACTTCAAAGGTTTTTTAGCTGGTACCGAATTGTACACCTTAGGTTAGTGCCTCAAATGGGCACTTCGCGCCATACTAGTAGTTCTGATGGCAGCCTTTCTGTAAAAGGAACCCGCAGTCGCTTGTTTGTGCTAACAGTGTCGTGCTGTGTACTTGCGCAGCATGGGGTTTGGTCACACTCGCTGAATTGCTATTAACCAGTAAATTGCCTGAGGGCACCGAAGAAAGTATTGATGTGTGCTTAAATTTTTATTGAAACAAACTTACGAGAGCCTGACTATCAAGAACTATTTCATCCCTTATTTGCAACGTATAGGTCCCGATCTCAAACAGTTGGAGTATGGAGCAGTTTTGACGTGCTTGTAAGATGGCATCAGCGTCAACATTTTTTTATTCGTGCGTGCATAGTAGTTTCACAGGTGTTGATAGTATTGTATGTTTGCTGTTTGTAAAAGTTGGGCATATTTTGTTTTGGTCTTGGGAACACTTTTTCTTTTCTGTACTACATACTTTCGGTAATAAATCCAAATGACACTCATAACGGCCTTTTTTCTGTTCCGTTGCATTGAATTGGGACTGGTTAGACTTTCTAGCGTCCGTGAAGTCTGGTGACGTGATTGCTGCTGCACAGTGCTCACCTCACTACATCCTGCTACATTTCCCCAAAATCTGATGAATCTACATCAACACTGCTCCAAAAGTTAGTTTCACTCTCACTACTCAAACAAATCGCTCGTGCACCATTACACCGGTGGCACTCGGTTTGTCAAACAACATTTCATCGAATGGTTCTCATGATCGTTTCATAGGCATACCTTGCGACATTTTTTTTTTATGTGTCTTTCTGCTTACATTGCCTCGGGTGGTAGCCTAGCTTTCCGAACCCTTTGCAGTTGAAATGTCCATTGAAATGCCAGAATGTAAGAAAATGGCTCTGCCCTGAGAGCACTTAGTGAAATGATCTATAAGTGGCAGAGGTAATTCCCACGGTTAACGAGCCGAAGTCCGAAAATCGTTGCGCTGCTGCTTCAGAGAGCCCATGAAACAAATTTTGGGCTGGGATAAATGAATTTAGATTGGGATTTTACTGATAGCATATTGTTTAGTGGACCAAAATAAACTCAGTTGTAAGTCAGCGCTACGTCCGTGTCACTTCTTTGTCTGGTCCTCGTCTTTCCGCGCTGTTTTTAATTTCCGAAGTATGTACCAACTCGCCCAAGCCTCAACTTTAGCAAAATAAAGAATCTAGAAAGTCAAAAGCCTGCTTTTCGGTACGAAAATTTCAAGACAAAACGGGCTATTTGTTACCTCCTTGCCTCCGAAAGTTCTCCATCTTTTCACTGTGATACATCCGTGGTACCCAAGGCATGTCGCACGATACCTGGCCTCTCTATACTCTGTCCACTCCTAAGCTGACAGTGCAGTGGAGCTATGCACTTGCCAGACTAATCGGCTGTTCCCTTTCATCACCTGATCCCATTCTTTATGCGTAGGTACGCGCAAAGGAGTGTGATCATGTGGCAAAGGATAGAAGTGTGGCTGGCCCAAGGAGCATGCAGCTTCCACAGCACTGTCAGGTTGGGGGTGAACCGGGGTAGGGAGAGAGGAGGAGGGGGCAGGGGGGGGGGGGGGGAAGGGAAAGCGGAAGCAGCTTTTGTCTAAATTTTGAGCAATGGGCTAACCTTGGGGGAGAACGGCAACGTCCGGGTAGAGAAACGAGGGTCCGAGCAAATACTTTACTAAGAGAACACAGGATATGCTCCTCATCTGCATTAGACAGAATGACGACTGCACCATAAACCACCTTTGGTGGAGTGGTTTATTTGGCGACACCTCTCGTCCCACCTGCCTCCTCTTGGACTGTTTGATAACGCTGGAGGGTTTGTGAGTTCCAGAGAAAATCTAAGAAGGAAGAAGTTGAAAAATCGTTTCATGGTCCCTTTAAGTTGGCTCCGTTCAGTGCGCTTATCACCGCACACTGATGTACTGCGGAGAAGTGATACCCGCAAAGCAGACATCAAACGTGCTTGTGTAGCTTCTAGTGATGCAAAACTATCGATAAAGTGACTATCGATAGTGTGGCAAAACTGTCGATACTTGACTATCGATAGACTTTTTAATAGTCGACTTTCTATAAATTTTCGATAGTCGACTATTGATAGTTCTTATATACTCGACTATCGATAATACTATTGATAGTTTTTCCATAATCGACTATCGATAGCTTTTTTTGTTTTTACTATCGATAGTCAGATTTCTGGGGACTATCAGTAGTACTATCGATAGTTTTGCACTACTAGAGCGGACACAGTTGC